TTGGAAAGAAATGAACAAGAAGTTGGGCTCAGCAAAGATATCCTTTCAGTGATTTCATCCTCGTAAGATGTACAATCGCATATTTATACATAAGTTTAAATAGTTACAACTATTATTTAATTCAACAATAGTAACGAAGTGAGATAAGAGGTGATAACAATTTTCAACTGGATATGAATATTTGAAGGTACGAATATAAAATACAAGGGGCCTAGGAAGAAAACCACATAGAATTAGAAAATTAGTTCCGTAATGATAGAAAAAAGAAAACTAGATCCATGGTAAATCTAGGGGTCGGACAAGTTTATTTTCAATGCATATGGTGAGGGCTTCTGGTGTACAAAGAAGTCGGAAACATACTGCCTTCGGTAGTCTTTTAAACCTATCTATAAAACGTGTTTGAGGAGTATCCTAAAGTTTGTGGAAGCCCTAGCTGGCAATTGGAAAGTTTACACCACCTTTATGTGCTCAAAAACAATTCGTCATCACACTAAACATTCCTTGGTAAACTTTGTTTTGGTACCATAGCAGATATACTATTACCTCTGTTATTTGGTTTAGTGATCTTCGTTGTTATTTTGACCTTCAATAAGTTCTTTTAACTCGATCTGAATTTATTTTCTCACCTCTTAACTTTTTATTATTTTCATATCAATTCATATGATAAGTCCGTGTGTAATCAGATTGGTCGAAATATGTTGTGCAAATGCATTACACGATTCAGACACATTACGTCTTCTTATTGCTTTGTCGAGATATTTGCTCACTTTGCAAATGACTCTGAGTGATGTATAGAAATGCGACTTTCCATCTTTTGAGGATGAAATCGACGAAAAGAAATTTTTGCTGGACTTCTTGTTCTCTTTTCTCTCCAATGTCCTGATGGGTGGGTGGGTATTAACTTCTAGTCCAGCATAACTATCACACCGGGGGGTCATACACTTTAAAATGTATCAAATGTCATTGATTTTACATTTAAAACACACTAATGAATTTAATCAGATATTTTGTCTTTGTTATCTTACTTCAGATTAAGTTTGTGTACCTATTAACCATAAGCTAAACTCAGAGTTGAAATAGTAATCTTATTTTTACTTTTCTCTAATATTAGGTTGAAGAGAGTATGGAGAATCTCTTAATGGTTGTAGAAGAACGTAATCGTGCTGTTGATGAATTAGAAAAAGGCGAGTGGATTGGTCCAACAGTTATTGAAAAAGTCGATCCATCCAACACTGACTAGTGAACATTTTACTCCAAAGGTGATAAAAAGTTATGCAGAATCAGATGAAAGTATGTGGAGTCAAAAAAATTTAAAATTATTACAACTGGAAAGAGAGAGAGAGAGAGAAATATTGCACGAAAACGTGGACGTAAACGAAGAGAACGTTATTTTGAAAGACTTGATCACTGGAAAAAGATTGATTATCTTGATGAGAAATCAACTGAAAAACGCGCAATGTAATTCCTTGTACAGTTTAGTGTATATACTAAATATTGTTAATAAAATTATGAATATTAGCATCTGTAACTTTTTAAATGTGTTGATTCCATTTTCGATCACAAAAATCTATTATAATTTTGAAATGATGAATACTGAATTACGAAAACATTATTCCTGAGGCAAACTAAGTGTTAAGTGTGATAAACTTCGACTTTGGATGACTACCAGACCACGAGTAACATGAGACTGGCTGCCTACACTAATACTATTCCCCGAATATCAACATTCACCCAGTGATAGGGTTTAGGCAGTTGACATCCAGCCAATGGGTTTCAGATGCCAAACCCTACTCTGATGACTTTAACCTGGGCAGTTGGGTAGTATTAAATTTAAAAAGGTTAGCTTTTTTCAATCATAGGTGTCTGCCTTCTGTCTTCCGTGTCAAGTGGTATAATAAGGCGAGTAACATTGAGAGTAGGCATCGAGTGGTAGGTAAAGAGAGGGTACGTCAATCGATAAGGTTGTGAAAGTGAGTCAGAATGGCCAGGATATTTGCTGCGCATACCTAGCCATCGCTTTCCTCGACGAGCAATGTTAGCCGATATTTTTGATTAGGTTGGGAAAGGGTTACTGGTGGTCAAACCAAAACATGAAATCTCTAAGTACAAAAATTCTACAATACCGTATTTAGCCCGTATTTTATGTGATGAAGACACTATTAGACGTGAAACATATAAGTTACTATGTAATTAGCATAGTGAATCGACCCTTTCATTGTTCATCTTTCTGTAATTCTATGGTGTCACCCTTTCGATCGTTTAATTATAACTTTGCTATTTTTATTTTAGTTGTTATTACTATTATTACTATAATTTTATATTTTTCTCCTTATCCTATACTGTAATTGCTACATAGCTCCTATAAAAACGTTTTGTTATCATTATTATGTATTAATTATTCCGTTTATCTATATTTTTTGTTGTTGTCGTTTTTGAGTAAATTAGATGCAATACTGTACTGAATGCTGAAAATTCCTTGCTGTATCACTAATGCTGTTTTTGGAATAAAGCAAAGTTATTATTATTATTAGTTCAAGCCACGTGGAGAGGTGTAGGATGCCTGGTTGGGTTCCTCGGGATTCTAAGAGACTACTGAAGATATGGCTCAAATTCGTTGTCAATGGCGAAGATGCAGTCACTCTTTGTGATCTGTCATATCCATTAAACCTTAATGTCTTTCAATGTTACTAGTCTTGCTCCCTCAACTTCCTGCTTATTACAGCCCCTTTTTCTCTTTTATGCCTCTGTGCTACATGGAGTGTGGCAACTTCATCTGTTGCACTTTTGTGCAAAGTTTCATGTTGAAACTCAGTCGAACAGTTCCATGTAACGGAGTTTCCAAAAACACCTGCATTCGCCTAAATGAAAAAAATTGATCATGCATCAATAGATTTAAAAAGGAGATTATTAATTTTATGGCTTCCCATGTTGTTTTGTTCACGGATATTCTACTACGCGAGACTGTTGGTTTCATTTGTGATTATATCACAAGCCATGGAATAGGATTACCTTTACCTGGCACTTACATCAGGTATGTCATGTTGACTTGTACAGAAAGTGTCAGGTTCGATTTTCAAGGAAAAGAATACAAACTCATACTGTTGCAGTGGGGAGCCCTCTTGGCCGCCCGTTAGCAGATGTATCTATGTCGAAATTGGAGAAAGAAGCGGGTGTTATACTAGCAAACTCATTGGTGATTGTAATGAGTTGATTGACAACTGTGTTACTCGATTCGTCCAAATATTCGAGTGACTTTAGAATTCGAATTGAATAACAAACTGAATTTCTTGGATTTTTCAATGTCTAGGTGGGACGACGGGACAATTAAGCGATTCTTATCTCCCAAGCAGATATGGAGTGGACAATTTCTCCATTTTAGCAGTTTTGTTCTTATCCAGTATAAATGTTCCCTGGTGAAATGCCTGTTTTCAAGGGCCCGTAAAATCTGCACGAGCGACACAACAATGGATGAGCAAGGGTCCAAACATTCAGTTTTATAAGCTAATAAATATCCGGAAGACTTCATTGGATCCCAAAGTAAACACTTCAGTACCAAAGAAAGCTAACTCTACTAGACTACCATTCAAAGATGATCATCAAATTAACCAGTTGAGAGCTCAGAGGCTTCGGTCACCTATTAAGCGTACACTATGCTGTATCCCTTTTCCTTACATCTCGAACATTTTTGACTCCTGTAACAATGACTAAAGGACGAAATTCTATCGACTGTACTTCACACTGTATCTACAAGTTCACCTGTAGTTCCGGTGACAAATATATATAGGTAGAACCAATAGAATGTTCCAATTTTGTGGGAAGAACATGGCCCTAAATAGTTATTAAGTCACATAGAAAACCTAAATAGAAATCCATCATCATCCATTTCAAATTAAACCTGTGTCAGCCATGGACTACTTGACCAACTAAAATATGATTGGCTATTAGTGTGTACTTTTGTTGTATATAACTGAGTAATTGTTATACTTTTTTATTTTATTATCGTGAACCATGCTAGTTGTAAAGCAGTTGTAGGGAAACTACGAAATGATATCATCTCGTGATATTTGTTTTCTTAATACCTTGTTTAAATTTACCAAAGGGACTAACATTTACAACAGTTGCGTTCATTTACAGTATATACTCCTGGTAGTTTTCGTAACCTATGAAACACTATATTTTGTATTTATTGCTATTATTATTCCCTTGAGTTCCTAGTAGAATATATAGGGCTTCAACAGCACGTCTCCACTTTGTCCTATTTTCTGCTGTCCTCCTTGGCTGGACCCGTGGTTGCCCATAGTCTCTGATCTCCTCCATGTCATTCCCGGACGTCCCGCTCGTCGTTGTCTATTCAGGTTCCATTCGAGGGCCTGGCGCGCGACGTTATTCGATGGTCTTCCCAGCATGCACCCTATCTATCTCCATTTTCTCCTGCATTGTTTTTGAGCAATCGGCTCTTGGTTAGCTTGGTCCTAGAGTTTCTTATCGCTGTTTGTTTCTGACCAGCCATTTGATCTTCAATAAGGAGGCAGCGGAGGCAGTTGTCGGTAAAAGTCTGTAGTCGTCTGTTAGAAATGGTTTTCGTGACGCTCCAAATTTTTGACCCATAAAGAAGTAACGGACTTAACATTTGGGTTGAAAATCTGAATCTTCTTCTTTATGTTGAATTCAGAAGATTTCCAAATTGTGATCGCAGAGTGATGAGGATTTGTCTTGCCTTTCCAATTCCCGCTATGACATGCTGGTCCGTTCCACCTGTAGTTGAAACAATGCTTCCTAGATAAGTGAATGAAGTAACCTCCGACAGATTTCTCCCGTTAATAGGGATTGGTACTGCTTGCTTGTTGTTATTGTTGATTGATATGGCACAGTATGAAACCGAAATAGGACAACGATATCTTATCATCAGTTAACATATCATATTTCATTACTGCGAAACGACAAAATACCGTACATGCACTGAACAACTATTTATGTTATTAGTAAAAGCAATAGGTTATATCGAATTGCTTAAGGTGGAATCCAATGGATACTTTCAAAAGGCAATCATATTCTCTTGCACAACACTGGAAACAATGATGAAAAGACATTTAAGTATATCATATATACGAGGATACTATATTTTTTTCTTTGTAGAACGCAATTGTTTCTCTAATTCCAGTGTGTTTATTAAAGCATGATGTAATTCCTTTCCAGTTGTGGCTGCAAGCTGTAATAAAAAGTATGTTAGTGAAATGCAAAAAATTATGTTTACCTCTGACATTTCAACAATTGTTTCCAACTGACTACTACAACATCCATCACGTTCTATAGATCCTAATGACCCGTCAGGGTATATAACAACAGACAACCTGAAATATCATCATTATTGAATGAACAAACACATTTGATGAATATACTAACCTGGATAATGAACATGCCTCTTCTTCTTTAGTAGCATCGATTACGTAAGCATTCCCAATCTAAAAACAAAAAGAAATAAGAACTTAAGCAACACATATGAGAAGGCGATAGAAAAGGAACGCTGAGATGGCTTATTTTTAAGTCTATACAAGTGTGTCCTCATTCAAAACACTTCAATGTTATTTGTACTAGAATAAAAACGTACGTCATCAGTGCACCTTTAGTATGATCTGATACATGAATTTATGATCGGGTAATTGGAAGAAAGTCGGCTCCTATTGATATTATGCAGTTATGGTTATCCTTGACGACTATTAATCAAAGACATAAGGAAAGCATAGAAATTACAGAAGAAGGATGTATGGACAATGAAATCTGTTGCACTAAAAGACATCACTACCTTTTTATGCTTAAAAAACCTATCTATGCTTGTTTTGTAACAACAGAAGGCAAGACACTGGAGCCAAGGTATATTTTCATGTGATTAAACCGCTGTATATATATATATATATATATATATATATATATATATATAGTTTATACTCGTTAACCAAGCACTGAGCGTGTGATTCTGGTTTACATTAAACGATATGAAACAGAATGTTTAAATATACGTAGAATTCTGTTGCTTGTGCCGGATTGAACTGTGGGAATATGTGAGAATAATATTCCGTTGGCAAACACTGTCTGTATCACACCGTCACGGTTTATCATGATGTCAAATCTTTGCTTTCTGTATACCTTTCTGTTGGGATTGACAAGCTTCTCTGAAGTTATTATTTAGGCATGCACTGACACAAGATAACCTGATTGGATAGTTTTTGATTCGTTTATTTATGGATTAATTTTCTGAGGTCATACAACCAATCGCATTTGTTTATATATTTATAGCTGAAATTCCTGAGGTTTTGTAAATATAATATACCGTGCATTTTGTTTAATAAACATTGTCGTGATTGTTGCTGGTATTGTTATTTCGTTTTCGGTTGTCGTTCTTCCCAGTTTGACTTTTGTGTCTATTTGAGTGTGGGGATATTTTCAATGATCAATTTGGTTATAGTGTCGTGTATGGCGGTGCATTCTAGTCCCGACAAACCAGTAACACTCCATCGTAACACTTTCCATCTTAAATTGTTTCACTGGCTATTGCTATAAGACAGTGAGTCCAGTGAGGCTAAAGTATGTTTAGTATCTTAGTTAATAAGCTTGAATGACAACAGTTAGTAATCTTAAAGTCCTATACTCTGAATATCAATCGCCAGCTCATTGATGGCTACTCGATGAATTTCCTGGAGTTTCAGTGGGAGGTCCTAACCAGTAGGGTCTACCATGTCAAGGTGAAGTGGGTGTTCATCTAAGGCATTGATGAGAACAGCGCTATATTACGGGTTGATAAAGTTAGAATTCAGGAGACATTGAATTCCAGCCTAAGTGGCTGAATGATCAACGAGCTTGGTTTTGTAACCTGAAGTTCCCGGGGTCGATCCCTAGCTGGGTCGAGGGTGGTTACTGCTGAACAGTCCCAGAATGCGACGGAACAGCTATTCAGTTCTCCCTAGTTTTCGGGTGATCTCTCTAGCTTATGTTGGTTCGAGCAAAAAATCTGACAGTTGTAACTTTAAAATGAGATGCACAGATGCACATATTACCAAATAATTATTTCCACAGTAAAAGCCTTTTGTTTTACTAACAATGTGTGAAATAAAAACTACAGTAATTATGAACGTATAAGTCAGCAGACAGGTCTCAGTAAATTCACTTTAAGGGTGAAAAGTCATTTTGGATGTTTACATATATATATATATATATATATATATATATATATATATATATAATCATAATGTGTGAACAATTATGGACAGTTACGGAATAATAAATAACGGTTCAGCAAATTTATTCGCCTAGCTGTAGAATCACAACTATAGTTTGATTGGACACTAGTAACTAGTGTTATGCGTCTAGTCCTTTCTTTGCTGCAGACTGAATTCTGTCAGTCAGGTTTGCAATGTGGTCACCATTCTAGGTAGCTCGCCATCACGGTGCACATTGATTTGATGATATTAGATGGTTGGAGGCAATCGGCAGGAGGCCTTGGACCACATAGGTTTCGTGCTAGTAGGTACTCACCAGTCACCAAGGCGAATCTGCAACCTTGAAGGAACTCATGTCCCTTCCCATTTAATATCATCAAATCAATGTGCACCGTGATGGCAAGCTACCTAGAATTGTGGCCACACTGCAAACCTGACTGATAGAATTCGGTCTGCAGCAAAGAAACGACTAGAACCATAACACTAGATACTGGTTTCCAATCAAACTGTCCACTACAGTCCTACAGGAGGTCGATCACGAGCCCGAATAGTTCAGTGGTAACGTCTCTGACTGCAGCACTGGGTGACGCGGGTTCGAATCTCAGAAGGGACATGAGTTTCTTCAAGGTTACAGATAAGCCTTGGTGACTGGTGAATGTCAACTAGCACGAAACCTATGTGGTTCAAGGCTTCCTGCCGATTGCCCCCAAACTATGTAATATAATCACAGCTGTATATAATTATTTTTGTCTGTGTGCACATTCAGTTTGTCAAACAAAAGCAGAAAGTTAGTTCGAAGTGTTGTTTACGTCATCAGAATACTTCAAAACAGTGATGAATAATCAAATTTGAACTAAGGGGTGAACAATAGTAAGTCTAGACTAAGGTTGAGTAATAATTAAAAAAATCGGAGACTATTGAAAGAGCAGGAAGAAAAGTATCAGAATAATATTGTAGTTGGACAGAATAAATAGAAGGTTAGTTGAGAAAATGATGATACTAAATGTCATTTGAAAAATGCAAAAAATAGTATTGATAACAAAATAGTGATAACAGTTGAACTTGGAATTATATTTGAGGTAGAAGTAGGAGATAGAGAAGTTTCTCCTGTGTACATAAATCAGGGTTTCCCATCTGAATCGTTAAGGCCTCGCAGCAATGCACAGTATACGGAAGCCTACCACTGTCGGCAGCCTTTTTTTATTTGTAGGTAACTTTGAATGGATTTTCCTCATATTTTCAGTGACCAATTTCAAATATATGTTCAATGATAACACTGCAGCTTTTGGTAACCAGCAGGGATAATGTTCATTGACTCTTTTAGATAAAGCAAGCATCGAAAGACTTACATATCTAGCTCCACACAATCAAGTGAATTGGTATATGCATGCACAAAGTGGTCAAATGCGATAGTTTATCTTTAGAGTTATTGAGGAACACTGGACGGCAAGAGAATACCAATCTGGATGAGTATTTTTCGTAATCTTACTTAGTCAAGAGGATTGACAACTAATTAGCTAACAAGGGGTTCAAAACATGTTGTAAACCATAAAATAATTATAAAGTTACAAAAAGAGATCTCTTTACTGACTTAATAATTACATGACATGGGGATTTTTCAACTACAGTAATTCAAAACAAAAATGTTACAACAGTGAACAAAAACAAATTTTGCTTACTTTATGCACTGTAACGAATACAGGTAGCATATCGTCATTAGATTGTTCAGCTGAGCATTCCGAAGTCACCATTTTCTTCTTATTTTTAAAAACAGATACCAGTGGAGAATTCGACTTTCTACACATACATGTATTTCGTGTTTAGTTTTGAAGTGTTAGAAAAATAAATAAACATACGTTGCATTGAGTAAAGCAGCCTTAATGACTAAAGATGATGCATCAAGCAGGTTTCCAGCACCTTCTAATATCTAAAAAGGATAAAATTTTACATTATCAGACACTTACAAGTAAGTCAATGTACACAATCCAACATTGTCGACCACGTTGTATACACAATGAACTAAGATCAAGAAACTCTGATTGATAGACTGATTGCAATGTTGCTTTCAAGCGTTTAGCTAATTCAGATGCTATTTTATCATTGCAACGGTGAGTTGCTGTAGGATAACTGAAAAAGAAAAGAAGTATGATAATTTTTTTTTAATTTGTAAATTGAACAACAACAGCATATGTCTAAGCCAGCGAAGTTGGTGAATCCAGGAGACAACACTCAGTGAATGGTGATCTCCACCGTGTTCAAATACACACTGCCAAACCTCAGAACTATTCACACGATAATACCACCAGAAGTAAGCAGTTCTACGGAAACAGCGATGATCGAATATGCGGTCGTCTCACATCTTTATTTCGGAGAGGCTAGGTCTCACAGGCATAGAGCAAGAATAAGCGCCCTGAAACATTGTAAACTCAACCGTTAACAGCCAGACTGACGACGCAACAGTGCCGGGAGAGATTAAAATTGGCGTATGCAACCCTAGCCTTCACTACATGGATGGAGATCTCGTCCACCAAACCTCCACCCAAACAACTAGATACACGAGCTTGTCGACAACTTCAAGTAGTCAACATGCGATAATGAGTGCAAGTACAAGCTCCTGCCAATCTTGCAAGTTACTTCGCACTCATACGGCCCAAAGCATATACTATGCTTACAGGCACTGATCGCCAACTGATTAAGTACGATTCGGGCAGCCTGCATGTTATTACACAATAAGACGATATCGTCTGCGTACTCGAGGTCGAAAAGTATTACTCCAGAAAGCAGATCTACACCACCAACACCAAGCACATCCTTCAGGGCTGACCCCAGAATGTCATCGATGACAAGGTCGAAGAGAAATGTAGAGAATGGGCAACCCTGTCTAACCCCACTGTTTGTTGGGAACAGTGGTGATAGTTGGTTGCACGCCCGAACTCTACCTCAGGTGTTTCTGTAAAGGGAAGTTAATAAACTTCTCAGGCACACCTTTCTCTAACATAAAACATGTAGAAGGTAAAAGAGGGGTAAGAAGATACAATCGGTAGTACACTGCTATACAAAGCAAACAAATATATATATATATATTTGCATCTGTGCAACTGACATCAATTCTGAGATATATCAAATTGAATCATAAGTCCCGGTGATCATATGGACTACGGTTGACGCCAACAATGAGTTACTTTGTGCAATGTTTTGATCTAATCATGTCTTGTCTTCCTCTAGCCTAATCAATTTTACTTCTACTAACATAGCCGTCATCACCCATGGATCTAGAGGACAAGGAGGGTTTACTTAGGGGATTTGAGAAACCCTGATTACACACTGATGATTAACATGGTTGCAGGAAATGAAAAGAACGCATGGTGTATGAACCTGCTGTAGGAATGCACCTCATAATGTTGTTCTTTCTTCTAGATAAAACTCTAAATTAAAAATTTAGAGAGTAGTCCTTTGAGACAATCATATGGTTAGGTTTCAGCCAACATACAAAATATATGAAACTTGTGCTCTTACAATTCCAAGAATGAAATAGCTCAACATTCAACTTCTTATCACACTACACTGTTGTTCAGCTAAGCTGTTGTGCCATCAGCTACGAATGATGACGTGCACACAAGGATGCCACTCCCTCTGGATCGGTTTTCTGGGTCCTCATCACGACATGTTGTACGTCAGAATTCTTCTGCGTTTTGATGGTCACGATGACCATCACCTTAGACAAGTTGATCTAAGCAAGTCCGTTTCACCCACTATTGTAGCCAAATTTCATATACCAAGCTAGACTTCAGGCTGGTTATTGACGCCACAGAAGTCACACGCGAACGCATCTTTTACTCACAAGATACTATGATGACAGTTAAAGTAGCTGTGACCAAGGATATCATCCAATTGAGAGCTAAGTTTTTCAGGAATGTAAGGGAAGTCGAGAGTGAAACATCCATGTATCCATCCTAAGAAAACAACCTACGTAATCCATGTGATAATTATTGGGTGTTACGTTCTTAACAATTATGTCAACGATACTGCACGAAATGCCATGACCTACAGGCGTTCAAGACACTATAAGTTATGTTTTGGAAACAAAATCAATGACAAACAAGCTGCGAATTCCCTTTTTCTTCTATTCCTGAAAGTAATATGCATTGCCGAGTTCTATTTAGAATGCCCTTGATATACATTCAGACTGTTTTCATTCTGTTTTTCCTCACTTGTATTAATTCTCTCCTCATACTGTTCTAATCTGTGTGGTGCATCTCTAGATGACTATTATGTAACAAGTTTGCTAGTTAGATAATATATAATACATTGGACTGTCAGTAAGTTATGCGTAACACAAGTTCAAAACACTTCAGGCAAGAGAGGTTTAACAGCAGCAATACCCAGAAAGAAAGCGATGGTGGGACAACAGATGCGTGGCGTTGTCAACATCTAAAAGGCAATCAAATATTGGCAACAGTAAAGAAGAGACACCAGAGTCAAGTGGCCTTGGACCAACAAATCAAATCGCTCAGGACTAAAAATGTATGCTTTTCATAATCTTTGTTGCAAGCTTCATTTTAACCCTAATCTTGGTTGCAAATTTCACCCTAACCGTAATCATAACCTTACCTTAATCCCACCTTAACCTTAACCCTGAACTAGGATGAAACTTGCAACGAAGATTATGAAAAGCATCCATTTGTAATGCTGAGCGATCTGATTGGCTGGTTTAAGTTCATTTTAATGTGGTGTCTATTCTTAACTGTTGCCCAAATTTGAGTCTGCATAGAGATAATGTCACAGTTTAGTGAAATCTGGGCAAAGTTTTGTTTTGATGTCGAGATGCTTTCATTCAGAAGCTCACTAGGACTAATACCATTTCCCAGGAATATTGGATGATTATGTGTTCACTCTATTCACCTCCTATAATAAGACAGCTTGTCAACGTAAGACAAGCTTGAAAGAGCGGCTTACATTTACCAAATAGGAAGTGAATCCCATACTTTTTTGATTTGTCATTTGGTTTCCAAACAACTACATATCTTTTCAGAACCGTTATCCAGAGGTTGTCTGTATATGCCAGATAATCTAAAGAACTCCCACTGAAGTCATGTGTGACTGTAAAAATCACAATAAGCTCTTGTCATTAATATGATAAGATGCCATATACAAGTCTGATCATCATGACAAATCATTTGTTGCTTCTTCAGTGATTCTGACAAGTAAAGAGGTAAGTTCTGCATACAGAATGTATAACATAAGCTTAAATGAGATGCATTATTAAATTCTGCACAACAAGAACTCAGGAATAGAGTGTAGTTTTCAAAGTAGAAAATATGTAGTTGACTTACCATTCAACATTAATTTCTATACGACCTTCATTTGGAGCAGTTAACGACGGTTTACCAACTTGCGTTTTGACACAACATAAAATAAATGTTTCACCCTACAATTTAACGTAAAAAAGCACACATTTTACTTACAATGCGAATACTCGCTGAACCGCTCGCGCGGCTTAAGATACTAGTCTCAATTTCTAAAGGTCGATATTCGTTTGGCCTGCGGCCATCCATCCTACATCCCAACTAAAGGGAATTAGAAACAATTAGTTGGTAAACTAACTTCAACTCCCTGTATGAGGTAGAAGCGTTCAAGATCACTTAGGAGAACAGTATCCATAGTGCGTTACTTGGTTACACATCCAATACAGTTGTGTCACAAGATGTCTGTAAAATAGAAACATCAATGGCTTGATATTGAATTTCTTTTTATCTGAAAAAGTTATTTAAAGTACCAATACAAACTAGAAGTAACGCCATATTCTTCAAAGCAATACTGAGGATAACCAAAGGAAAAATAACTTGCTGAAGAAACTCGACTTCAACTTTTCGTTCTGATTGCAGCTAGGACATCCATGTGCAGTATTTTTTTTAATTTTTTTTTATTACAGCTTGATGTCACACCGTATTTTCAGTACAAGTATGGCATTTTTAGCATGGATATCGGTAGCCCAAATTTCGCAGGCCGACCATAGATATCGGGTGTGCGTCGGCAGGGGATCGAACCCCGGACCATTTGCATGGTCGGCGAGAGTCCTAACCACTGTGCCACCGACCCACAATATTTCAATATTTCAACGGCGAATCAGTATTTAAAAACTTCACCTCTTTGTTCTTACAGAAAAACCCGGATATGGAGATTGAACAGATGGATTCGCGACATACCAGAATCACGTGGTTAGTCAGTTTCCCCCAGTTTAGGTCAAAGTGAAACACTCAGCAATCACCACTGTATACATACTTATAATTCAGTAAGCATATTTTTATTTCAATTCTCCTGTTTCAGATGAAGAGATTTAGTCTGATTGGGATATGAAGACATTAGTACATACACGACACATGGTGTTCCTATGAAGTAACATACCCACAAGTTTGCGCATAGATTAGGACGAAGTACGGATGCTATGGTCAAGAATTTATGCGCACTGCAAGCAGACCAGATTCATATTATAAGGATAGAAGGCTCTTGCTGCCTATGTTAATCCTTGATATATATATATATATATATATATATATATATGCAGAAATCTAGTTTCTCTTTGAAAGCGTTCACCGATGGAGCTGTTACTACTGAATCAGGTGAGGAGTTCCAGTCGTTGACCACTCTGTGAGAGAATCTAAATTCCACAAGTATTTTGTTCAACCTCGGTCTGAGCACCTTTCTTGTGGTGACCTCGAAAATATATCCTGGAGGGAGAGAAAAGGTTAGAAAGGTCAATCCCTAAATCACTCTTGAATAAACAGTGTACCAAAATTAAGTCGTCTCTCCTCCTTCGATATGATAATGGGAAGAGATTTAAATGCTCCATCCTCTCATCATATGGAAGGTGTGAGATACCACTTACCAATTTGGTTTCTAGCCTGTGTACTCTTTCCAGGATATGTGCTTTCTTTGAAGCATAAACTCACCGCCTGTATGAAGTATTCTAAATGAAGTCTGAAATATGTTGCAGAGAGTACTTGGAACATACCCTCGTCTAATCGCTTGAAAGCCCTTCGAAGTGCAAATAGCATTCGAAATGCCTTATCTCCGGCTCCATTACAATTTGACGTTGTTTATAAGTCATGACTTACAATAATTCCTAAGTCCTTTTGTCCCTTAACATCTGGCAATTGTGCGTCCCCAAGGAGTACGGCGTGTAAGACCTCTTACCTAGGTGCATTACGCATCAAATGTATGCCGCACTAAAGACATAAGACGCACTATAAATACCATGACAAATTCTAGTAGGTAAATCCTGCAAGAGCATGTACTTGATTAGCTTATCGGTGCATTTTGCGCAAAGTTTCTCCGATGTGCCTAAACGCTTTACCAATTCGCTTTTGAAACACTAAACCATTATATGAGTAAGTCGAGTTATTTCGCACTCATATTTGCCAGTGGAAATATTAAGTTTAATGAGAATAACGGGTTGAATACGAGGAAATATACATTTAAGAATTATCAAACTAATAAAATACACACATTCAGCAGTTTACAATGCACAGGAGGAGAACACAAGTCTGTTTATGTGTCTGCAGAATTATATGTTTATTCAAAACCCGAGGTGAAATTCAAAGTAAGGAGTTTACGGTTAAAACAAAGTAGTGTACAAAATGTTCATTTCTTACATAGTAATAAAATTTGGACCAGAATTTTTTTGAGAACTCCACAGACTACATATGTGGTGTATGCGGCTGGTGAAAATTGGTGAGCGATGTATTGATGATCTCTTCTGAATAAATCTTGAATAGGTGAAAGACAGATGAAGTTGTGAAAAGGGGAAGTGAGGACAACAGCAAACCACTACAGAAAACGTGAAAGGAAGACAAAAGAAGTAGGATACGAATATTTTTACTAGCTGAGGTTTTAATGTAGATTCTGAGTATTTCGCCAAATTTCAATACCAGTCAAACACAATCTGGGAAAGTAGGTCGACAATAAGATAGTAGAAACGATGAAGATAAATTGAACGAATAAACAAGCATATTATGCGAGGGAATAAACATCTACAAGACAAGAAAGGAGGAAAACGAATAATTGCAGGAGAATAAGGGAAATAAGAAGTGAAGGAAAAGTATGAGGTAAATAGGTTATTATTATTTTGTATTTGCTCGTAAACTTGAGATATTTTGTAACTGTATTATATTCTTATATTCACACCATAACGCCTCTTGATTGTAGTTGGCAGTCCGCTGTAGCTCCTCACATTTTGGATACATACACCACCTTCTGGGTTCTCGAACATAGAATATCCAGCAGCGTATCCTCTCAAAATAAACTAAGTCAAATTCAACCATTGTGAACTTGCTTGAAAAAATTCTGCAAGATATTTCTGATGCTTTTCACTATCCTTCCTCAAAATTACACTATCATCTAAACGCGATCGTAGTCAGGGAAATTGCACTTACAAGCTACAGAAGGTTGGAATAACTCTTCAGAGACGTTCACCTCAAAGACAGTAAGCCCACGCAGATTCCTCGTCAGATACAACACCTCCTTGCTGATTCCAAATGAATGACACTTTTCTGAAACACTTGTGGTGTCAGTGATCGCCTCAGATGGTGCAAGGAGCTATTGCACTGCACTGCAGCACCATGCACTAGTCCTCATCATCATCACAAAGGAATTTCTCCAACTGGTGAATCGTCAAGTTTCAGCACGGCTACAAGTACCACAATCGCTCATCCATCTACCACAACAAATCTCTCTCATGTTTTGGCAAAGCTCAGTCAGAGCCTCAAAAATAATTATGTGGATCATGCTGGTATCACTGTAGTTGTGATGCCAACTCGTCCGTACGGCCTGACAGTGGTAAGTCATGATATTTGTAGACTGGCACGTAATGGCGACTCTGTTGATGCCCCGTCTGTGTAGAAAATCGTCACTGGGGATTCACTCCATGGTTGGGAGGTGGCATAGTCCCGTCCCCAACAAGAGACCATCTGAAGCTAACGTGTCTGCAACTACGTATCGCCAATGATCCACTTGTGGTTGAGGAGGCATGGACCTTAACACTGAACTTCTGGGCACTTTATGCCTGGTTTTCATACTGGCCAAAGTGACCACCGGCATTATTCGTGTCTATCTCTTAAAGCAGTATTAATTACTGGTAGATCATCGCAAGCAAAAGTTGGCAAATTCTACCACATGACTACTCGTCTCCGGTTTTGTCACTAATAAGTCTCAGCTTGGAGTGCTAAGTCTTGACAGCTAAGGTCCTTACTGCACCAGCGCCAAATCTTCGCTTGATATTTGCAAAATAATAATTTACTTTATTCCAAAAACAGGACTTGTGGTACAGAATGGATTGAGGTGTGATTTGTGCAAACTTCAGTGTCATCCATCAATGAACGAAGATGTGGTTGCTACTTGGTTACTCGTCCTATCCTTCTGAGTACCTTAAGTCCTTACCACGTCTGAGTGGCCATAGCATACCATGTTCCGGGGACCCGATAACTCAACACCTGCTACTACTACTGCTACGGGTTTTCATGTTGTTGTCACTGCCCCTCCTGTTGCGAATTTTTTACCTTTTGCTGGTGTTGTTCCGATCGCTTTATTCCTTGTTTTCCTGATTCTGAGGGGAGCAACCCATAAAGTTGCTCCTGTGTAAACCACATATCCATCTAACAACCCCCTTCTCAGGCGTGAGGCTAGCAACCCCACCCTGTAAACAAAGCTGCTACAAGAACTTCAGAACGATGAATCTGCTTGCGACAAAAGAAAAAAGTCTGTGTGGGGGCATGGAACATACGCACCATGTATGAGATTGACAAAGCTTCCCAGATTGCAAACGAGATGAATAGATATGGTATTTAAGTGCTGGAAATATGCGAGAGCAGAATGAATGGATGTGGAATGACAACATTTTCAACGGGAGATTCAGTGATTTACTCCGGTCACCCAGAAGACAACCACGAGCACAACGAGGATGTGCCTATCATGATGTCACCAACAGCAACGATGACCCCGATAAAATGGGAGGCGATCTTGCCCAGATTAATGACCACCAGATTCAACTAAAAATGAAGGTAAGTGACAATTATACAATGCTATGCACCCACAAACAACGCAGACCTCGAAAAGAAAGAAGAGTTCAACAGACAATTACACGCAACAGTGCACAATACTCCAGTTGGTCACAGTGAAATTCTAATGGGCCACATGAACGCCAAACTGAGGCCAGACAACACAGGAAGAGAACTCATCATGGGTAGAGAAGCTCTAGGAGAAATGAGTGAAAATGGAGAACTCTTCGCTGACTTCTGTGCCTTCAATGAACCAGTTAGTGATTAGTGGCAGCCTACAGAAGCACAAGGCTACATGTCTGTCACATCAAGGACATTATTTACAAATGCTCTGATGATCGAAATGGTCATCTACATATGTACATAAATAAATAAATAAGAAGTCAGTAAATATTAAGATGCCGACGAAAATCCTTAAAGGACTGCTTGCTACTTAGGTCTACTATGAATGGATATCTTGAATTTAACTTAACGAGGGTCTTCCAAATAGGTGAATTTCTGCCTAACCTGACTAATAGATGGTTCATTAAAAAGGGCTCATCAGAATATTCACATTTTACTATCGATTTATGGACAGTAAATTCATTCTTTGTGGAAATGAATTAGACACACGCACAATAATTGCTCTTTTTCAACGAAGTACATTTGTGCATGAATAAGAACCTCAACGTAAGATTGTTTTCTTAGATATTCTTTCTCCCTCTCCCTCCCACCCAAAAAATCAGGTATATATACATATATATATAAGTAAAGCACATGGATTGGACAGTATACACATTTCCGATCCTCCCTTTCCCTCCAATACTAAAGAAATTTGGTGGAGACGCTCAGCTAGCTATAGAGTGAGAGTTATGTGTTCAGATGTGATATGATACCTTAATTGAAAATAACTATCGGAATAAACTTACAAGAAAGTTCCTGGTAATGAAAGTACAAAAGAAGTAATTAAACAGCTAGGAAAGTTGTAAATTGTATGTAACTCATGTTTTCTCCACGCTCAGGCTGTAAATACCCCATAAGCTGCTGCTCTAGGAACTTGGTTTTCTTGTGCTTCGATATATTTATTTGCAAGTACGGAAGGATGAAAGTGTGACAAAAAGCATCAGTGCACCTAAGCAAAACAGATGATAAAGCAACTATTGAAGAATCCTTCACTATTGTTTATAACATGTCTGTCTAGTAAATTGTCAAAAGCAGCTACTAACTACCAAGTACTCCAAACATTAGAAGCCATAGAAATTCTCTCAGACAGCCGGAGCTTTGTTAAGGTATGCAGTGTTGTTAACTACTAGCCTATTGGAAAGAAATGAACAAGAAGTTGGGCTCAGTAAAGATATCCTTTCAGTGATTTCATCCTCGTAAGATGCACAATAGCATATTTATACATAAGTTTAAATAGTTACAACTATTATTTAATTCAACAATAGTAACGAAGTGAGATTAAAGGTGATAACAATTTTCAACTGGATATGAATATTTGAAGGTACGAATATAAAATACAAGGGGCCTAGGAAGAAAACCACATAGAATTAGAAAATTAGTTCCGTAATGATAGAAAAAACAAAACTAGATCCATGGTAAATCTAGGGGTCGGACAAGTTTATTTTCAATGCATATGGTGAGGGCTTCTGGTGTACAAAGAAGTCGGAAACATACTGCCTTCGGTAGTCTTTTAAACCTATCTATAAAACGTGTTTGGGGAGTATCCTAAAGTTTGTGGAAGCCCTATCTGGCAATTGGAAAGTTTACACCACGTTTATGCGCTCAAAAACAATTCGTCATCGCACTAAACCTTCTTTGGTAAACTTTGTTTTGGTACCATAGCAGATATACTATTACCTCTGTTATTTGGTTTAGTGATCTTCGTTGTTAGTTTGCTTCTTTGTAAACTGCATATATATATGTAATAACCCTACCCTGTAAACAAAGCTGCTACAGGAACTTCAGAACGATGAATCTCCTTGCGACAAATGAAAAAGTCCGCACCATGTATGAGACTGACAAAGCTTCCCAGATTGCAAACTAGATGAATAGATAAATATGCGAGAGCAGAATGAATGGATACACTTGAAATGCCAGTTGGCTCTCCATTTCAACTTCATTATCTTCGGAAAGGCCTTCAACAGCGTTGGTCGAGAGGTGATTTGACAACTACTTCCCTACTACTGGGTGGAACCATCAATTATGCACCTCATCCAACAGTTGCACGATAATGATGCATGTCAAGTAATCCACAATGGGAAACTCACGGAGCCCCTCAGAGAGAAGACATGCCTACCATCGCCAATGATTTTCTTGATTGCCCTAGACTGAATAATTCGACAGACAGCGGGCCAGTCAACGAGGAGACAGACATAAAATGGACCCATACGAAAACTTGGAGGATCTGGATTTCGCCGATGATATATGTCAGATGTCCCACAAACTGGAAGATATGCAAGTGAAAAGCAACAAGTTGGAAGAAGAAGCATCCAGAGAAGATAGGACTTCAGGTGAACACAGATAAAACAGATGTGATGATGAAGATTCCTGGCCAACGGCAACAGCAACGACAACAACTGAAAACAATCGGCATAAATGAAAGAAGCCACCTCCTTTACCTACCAACCTACATGGGAAGCATCGTTTCAACTACAGGTGCAATTGATGCGGATATCAACGCGAGGATCGGGAAAGCAAGGTAAACTTTCAGTACTCTCAAGTCTGTGTGGAGGTCAACAGCTCTCAGCATAAAAAACAAGATCTGGATTTTCAACTCCAATGTGGATTCAGTGCTATTATACGGATCAGACACTTGGAGCACCACGAAGAGCACTTCGAAAAAACTAGAGACCTTCATTAACAGTTGTCTGCACTCAATACTCAAGATCAGATGGCCGGTCAGAAAAGGTCAGAAACCAACCAGGAACTGATTGTGAAACAAATAGGTAGGAAGAAATGGGGATGGCTTGGCCATACTCTGAGGAAACCATCAAGTGACATCACTAGACAAGCCATTGCTCTAGTGGAACCCGAATGGGAAGCGCCGAACCGGTCGTCAGTGGGGGTGACATGGAGGAGTTCATGTGAAGAGAAGACGAAAGCATGTAGGCAGACGTGGAGCCATGTGAAAACGTTGGCAGAGAACCCAACACAATGGAGACGTGTGGTTGAAGCCCTGTGTTCCTCTAGAAACTAAAGGAAACAATGATAATAAACATAGTGTGTAGAGAAGTCAATATTTTTAATGGTTTCTCGGGTGACAATAAGACAATAGTGAGATTTACGAGTTCAGTTTAACGTTTCATTTGTAAGCTACAGACTTTTAATGATATTTCAGTCATGCTTTACAGAATTCGGTTTATCTCATGGTACCTGCTACTTCGAGAGCAGTGAGAAGCGTTGTGTCAGTATATGAGGAGTTAGGAAGCCGAAAAATCTTCAACAACATGCACACGTCCTCAGACTCTACCCCAGTGGATGCTTCCTTAGTATCGTTAGGATTACATGATCGTGCGGTAATGTTATGTGGGGGTTGGTGAATTATATGACCTGGCAGTTGATAACCGCCACAATTACAGACACTAGCAATAAATCTATCAGAATCAATATTAAATGGAAATTTCAGTAGCCATCTACAAAGTCAAGAATTTCTGAGCCTTAAAATAGCGTCAAATACCGTCTTTGAAGTTATGAACTCACGCGACTGGGGAAATCCAGGAAAAGTCCCAGCAACCGCACACTGATGCACAATTGATGTGAAGCTCAATGGCAGGATGTGAAAAGCAGATTTGTAGAAATCCATACTAGTTGTATTCGCAGATCATCCTTGTTGGCTAAGTCAATCAAACTCTGCGGCAGAGTATTTTGGTAATTAATGTCCTTCCATCAATCAACAAAGGAATCGACGTGCCTAATCGTAAGTAGTTGAAAGTAGTATGCATCATAAGTGTCAGGACGAGTAAAGACCGTTCTCCGGCTGAATGAAATCATGATACCATGCTTAATGGCCTACAATGACAATAAGGAAGTCGGTCAACCATGCTTGTATTCTGGGAGAGGAAAGACATTGACCCTTTGATATACATCAACTAGGTCTAAATATCACTATTCACAACTGTTACTTTATTGAAAAAAACAATTTGGCTACTTACGGATCCTATGCGCCTACGGCTGATCATGAAATTTGCACGCTATCATCTTCGCTGCAATTAGAACCAACATAACAGACAGTCCATTCGGTCACATGAAAACATTCCTGCAAGCAGTTTACCAATTTGATATCTGAATTTCCTATCTATGGTGACGAGACAGAGGCTTAAGATTGCCACAGTATAGTTATACGCATCAATTTCGGAAGGTATGTGGTTATCTAACAGTACACAAGCTAAAACTCAGAAACAGACTAACGCAGACTAATTTTGTACAGGTGATTAGTAAGCAGTAGGAAAACATCAAAATACGCTCAATATAAATAATCAGCGCGTTGTTCTGAATGCAGAGATGAATCTTTGGGCATTCTCTTTCTGCTGGATTTTAAACTGAGATATTTTTGTTTCCGTTCAACGTTTGAATGAACAATATGAGGGGAAAACATTTAGAGAAATACGCTACAACAATGGGCTTCAAGGTTATTCGCGACATAGTGTTACAGTTGTTGAGGGAAGAGATTCCTGAAAATACACATCCAATCTTGTCTTTGGCAAAAACTGACCAAGAACGTGCAGAGGCCAAAAAGCGACGCCAAGATCTCAAAGATGAAGAGGATGAAAGTGCTTTAACAACTGTCGATAGGAAAAAACGCCGTATCTGGCTTAGACAAGTAAGGTGAACGTTTTAATCACTGTAAAATTCACAGGCATATGCGGTTCCTATTGCATTTGCAGGTATTCAGAGAAATACTCTGGAAACAAAGCCTATTCGGGATACTACATCCCATGAATATATGTCAGAATTCGCTCGTGAAAAACGATTGCGGTGCCAGGCTACTAGGGGTACTGTAGCGCTTTTCAATGCTGTTAAGCAGCATCAGACCAACATTGGAAAGCAACTGGAGGGTTCAAAGTCAGGTTTCGAGGAAGAAAAAATTCTCACCCAAATCACAACTTCAGACTTCCTGGATCGTCTGTCAGCTGGGATTAGCAGTTCCAAGTTGTCGAAAGTAAAATAGTTCGAGATACAACTATTAGCTCAATCCCTCATTGACATTGTGCAGTTTTTTCCAGATGCCAACTGTCATTTCAAATTTGTAAATATATGACAATTATCTCTCTTGCATATATTATTTTCAGTGATTTCGTGAGTATGGTGAGAGTATGCTTGAATGTAGAGTGGTATATAATCATTGTTTTGTGAGGTAATATGTAGTGATATAGGAATAGTGAAAGGGATAATCCAACGGATATTGCGGCCATGCTTATTCAGTTGTAATAGTTCCCTATCTACAATGCTTTCGGAATCTCGATCTTGTGGCATCAGTGTGTAAGCTATTAACTATGTTGAATTTCGCCTGTTCAATAATGGAGATTTTTAGTCCAGTATAGAGTCGGGTATTGCATTTAATTTGAGATTTAGGATTTGTTCGTGGAGGTTCTTCTAAAAGGCTAGCTGACATCTTCGGGAATAGCTCTTTTAAGATTTCAGACCCTAGTACAATTCGTATTGATAGCTAAGTTTGTGTTTGCTTCTTATTTCGTAGTCTCATGAGTCAAAATATTAGGGTGAAATGTGAAGACTGTTCTGATTTTTTAGGCCTTAGTAATGATGTAAGTAGTTAACTTTTTCCATTGTGTTGGGTCATGATTTTACCGGAATGGGATATTGCTCAAGTCTGCACTTACATTTTTGTTAATTTAAACTTCGTCGGTTTATTGGGCATGTAGAGATCATCCTCATTTCAGCCAACCTCACTTTATCAGTGACATCCATTTTCCTAGTTGAAGCTTTGCTTTTAATTGTCTCTATGGGTTGATGTAAATGCTGTGTTGCCGTTTCTTCTCGTCTATAGTTTGTCACGATTTTGGTAAACTAAGCAACCAGAAATTTTAACGTGGAGCTGTTTGCAAGCTCTAATGCATATTTTCCAATTAAAGTCTATTTTCCTTAAACATTAGATTATTTGGTTCGCAGATGATCGCATTAATTCCACTGAATCTTTGTAACTTGTATTCCAATGGGAAAATGTCATATGCCGAAGAATTTTAATATTATTGATGTTGGATAAGTTTTCACTCCTGTCGAAAGGCATGTTTTGGTAAAATTATGATGAGGATCATTTGTCTTAAAAATCCTGAGCATATTGTTTCGGTTAACTTTCTAGTCTTTTCGATGCAGTCGCTCTTGGTACTCGGAACGAAGTATCAACACATCATCGCTGTTTTAGGTCTGAATATGATAAGCGTTATCGTCTTAAATATATACTTAAGTTTCTATGGTTTCATCGTTGGCACATATGAAGAATACATTTCAGTAGAGTTCATTTTCGTCAACTTTAACAAATAGTGCAATTTATGAGGATAAATCTATATTTCAGTCAGTCTCCAATCAACAACACTCATGATGAAATGTTTCCCACTCGAAGTATGACGGATTCATCCAAAAAATAAAATTAGTCAATTTTCAGATGTTGAACTGCCAGTGATTCGATTGATTCTAAGGTAAGTTTCGTCACGGACAGACATCAGTTAACGTACTACTGGACGGCTGTTTCATCTTTGTCTTAGACACTTTAACAGTACACGCCTATCAGCGGACGATGGATCGGACTGACGATATTCAACCACTTGATAGACACGTGCAGTGGCTGACTACAGGATGAAATTCCTAGAGTTCCAATTGGCATGCATGACTTGTGCAGTCCACTAGGTAGATTGTAAGGATATATACTTGTGAATGACATTGCTGGGGCATGTGGTTATGTCGTGAGTCGTTCAGAGTTAGTACTCATAGACTAATGGACTTCGACCAAATGGCTGAATGATAGATAATGTGCTCACCTCGGAACACCAATGTCCTTAGTACACTCCCTGGTCGACTCACAGATGCACAGCAATGAGATGTCCGAAACTGTGTGGTAAGAGGTGTTTAGTTCTCTGTGGTTTTCAGTGGATCTGTGACTGATATTAGCCCGTACTGAGATGTATTTTGGAAGTGACTGGATGTTGTTTCAATGCTTGCGGACACACTGACGCAGGCTGGTGATAGAAATATCATGTATTCCTATTGATCGTTAGTAACCCATAGTCAGTGGTGAAGGAGCGCTGTTAGTGATTCAAACACACGTTTCATGTGCAGGGTTCCAACGTTGAGCCCACCCTACACGATCCAATCAGACAACAATCTGAGACTTGGGATTGCATATGTGTAGTTGGAGAAAAACGTTGTTCTAGAGTCGAAGTGTATATTTCACTCCATTCCCAATTGAAATTTTGACCTACTTATCATTTGGGTGATATTAAAGTTGTAGGTGTTCCTCTCAGAGATTTGTCTAGCCCATAATGGTAGTTGTGATTTTGATTGAGAGTTAGTTTGTCGAGTTCCCATTGGTTTCAAGCTAAGTGTCGAAATGACATCGGTTAGAACTTCATTGAAAACCAGGGAATACTGGATAGTCGTTTCGTTGATCAGGGTGCACAAACAATTTCTCCGGAGGTATAAGGTGAGCCTATCGACCATTCAGCCATTGGGACGGATTAATTCTAGATTCCGCTGATTCGTAATTTGTAGCACAATCACCAGTCAATGTCAATACAGAGTACCTGACTTGGTGTTGTCATCATCCAGAGAGAACAGCTCTAGGGCAAGCATCTAAGTCTTGAGATTTGAATGTGTCTCACACAATGAAGCTGACACACTTGTGATTTAAGTGTCTTACCGTGACATCCACACCTTTTAGTTGGTATATCACTGAAACTAAGCAATTGTATGATAGAAATCATGTGGGAATATTTTCAGTCTTGCATTGTTCAAGTTGTACGTGAGCTCGACGTGGAAGTTATTAACGGTGTGAATGTGGATTGCAACATTACAATGACTGCATGTTGTTTTATGTGATATTTATGATAAGACGAGTTAGGGAACATGCTGATGTTTGTCGTCACTTAACAGATGGTATATCGAGTACGAAGTGATCTTTGTGAGATTATACCGACATTATTGATTGACTTTTGATTGTAGGTTCTATACTTCTCAATTGTAGTCTGTGTGTTGTTTAGAAACCTTTCGCTATTGGATGAGTTCCAGTGCGCTGCGTTCTCACCAGTTATGCACGAGTAACCAAATTTGACTTTTAGACAGATGCTCTCTGTCATGATTATTTCGCTTTAGGCGGCTATTATGGATAAATCACACGGAGAACTGAAAACGTCTGTAAATACATACTGTTCAGTCTTGTATTCTCAGTGCTATGAAGACGAAAATTGAGTTTCTTGATAGCCGTACGTTCAAGTCGTCAAGTACCTTCCTAAAATATGATGGGAAAAGTGTTGTTTTGGAGTGCGATTCGATGAATGCTTCAATGAGATGAACTAAAACTGAATGACATGGTTTTTAATCTTATTCTGGAATAAGTCGGTCACTGTGGTTAAGAATGCTACATTTTGGAATGAATGATACAATGACTGATATTGTCTTCATCGAAACTGATAGTCCTATGAAAGACTGCCTAACATTTGACAATTCAATTCAAAGTAAATACTTTTGGTCATTTCCCTTCACTGGACACTAGGTCGTAACTAATGTTAGGTCTCTCTTTGGTGCAGACGTTATGGTATTAGATACCACCTAATCTCCAATCAAATTATTTATTGCGTTCCCACTGGAAGTCAAACCTAGAGCGAACAGCTCACTGGTGATCTTTCTGACTGCAGCAGCGGGGGCTGGAATTGCAGAAGGGATATAAGTCTTCTTAAGTTTACAGACGGACCTTGCTGATGAGTACCAATAGGCAGGAAACCCACGTCCAAGGTTTCCTGCCGATCGTCTACAACCATCTGAAAACAATTCAATCATATAATTAACTTTACTGAAGCTGCTATACAGTAGAGCTCAACACGTAATCTGTGATAATGATGGAATGAAATAATTCTGCAACAGGACAACTTGCAAGTTCAAACACTTGCCTTTGCAAAACAGCTGTACATTACGTGTTCATGAAACTGATAACCTGAGTACGATAAATGAGATAAATAGGAAAGCTTAATAGTTACATTAAATATGCATTTCCCGGAATTTACCCTGGAAAGAGTCCATTTTGCATACATCAGCATCTGAACTCTTGTGCAACAACTTTGTCGTACCGTATCTGCACATTAATGTAAGATAGGAACCGGAAGGCCAACAAAATCTCGATTGCCAAGTTTCAAAAGAAATAATAGACTTAAAACGGGTGAATTTGGGAAAATAGCCTTCATCTTGTTACTATTGCAAAGGGAATACTCTCGTTGAACGGTTCACGAATGTACAAAATTCAGCAGTATTGTCTCAAAGCCTAATTTTGTCTGGAAATATATTTAGCATACACTGATTGATAACCGGTTTTGTAAATTCAAAGAGAAAATTTTCGTATATTTCTTCTCCTTAACTTGACATTTTGCATATATTAAGTACGCAGGGTGAATGAGGCATACATAATTTGAGAACCTAATTTCGACTGGACTATTTTGTATACTCATGGTATACCTCGTACATGTGAAGCTATGAAGTTGATGATGTGGGGCTTCCTTATTCGACAGCCGCATTGATTCAGATGCTCGGCACATCTTTTTCAAAAAAATACGAACCTACCTTTCTCTCACTTAGTTTTCGTCATATTTTTACAACACATAATTTCTTTTTTTTCTTCTGAATGTTTTCTGTAATCTGCCCTGTGATCACGCAGTGTATAATTTGTGAAAAAATGTCGCAACAAGTCAGTGGATACTCAATACAACGAGGTGTTCAGGCTTTTAAGTGGCAAGCAGTAACGTCAATAAAATAGTCCCTAAACGACAGCAGATGTTATGTATACGTATGTAAATGCGTTTCACTTCTAAGTTTGCCGAACACATTGTTTGTCTTTTTTTCTGCATAGTCATTTCTTTTCAGACTGACAGACATCATTTCAACACCTTTCATTGGTTTCGGTTAAATATATTATATATATATATATATCTTTTCTATTCCGAATTGGATTGTTTCCTAGCATTCTAATATTGGCTCATATGTTATTTAACAAGCTTTGGACTGTTGAACAAGTATAAGAGTTGTGAAAATTCTGACTAACCATTATTGTGAATTTTTACTTACGAAGGATGAGTTCTACCAAAAGCTGTCTAGTTTGCTGCGAAAGGCTAAACGCTCAGATATAGTCGTTCTAGCTGGTGACTTTAATGCTCAAGTAGGGAAATTGTGTCAATCTGAGAAGAATATTGGTGGCACATACGGAATTCCGTGCCAGCGAACCGACAACGGTGACCGTCTCCTACAGTTCTGTTCAGATAATCATTTGTTTCTTGTAAGCACTAACTTCAAACACAAGGAGAGACACTGTTTGACCTGGCGACCCCCATCCTCAAACCAACGCTGGACACAAATAGACCATATAGCAATAAGCTATCGTTGGCGTGGGTCGGTAGGAGATTGTCGCTCCTTCTGGAACACGTGTGTAGAAACCGATCACGCACTGGTTCACGCTCGTGTGTGCTTATGACTGAACGGACGTAGGAAACAGCTGGCGGTAAACCCATCACGTCCCCAGCTCGATCAGAAAACTAAGTCCCTATTTGAGGAAGAACTAGCTAAACACATATCTGAGTTCGACAGCTGCGCTCACCCTGAAGAAACCTGGAAGAATATTCAGTCAGCCATAGATACAGCTGTAAAAGCTGTGAATAAGGTAAATCCAAAGGTGAGTGAAAACCAAAAAGCTCGGGCTGCTTTCGCTAACTTACACGGTCTATGGCGTAGGCGTGACATCCGGCTATCAACCAAGGGACGTGTGTACTGCTCAGCAGTTTGCTCCGTCCTTCTCTATGACTCTGAAACATGGCCAATACGAGTTGAAGACATGAAGAGGTAGACTCTTTTCGATCATAGATGTCTACGATCTCTTTCTCACGTTAGGTGGTATAATAAGGTGAGTAATGTTGACGTCAGGCGTAGAGTGTTGGGCAAAGAGGGAAAATCAATCGACAAGGCTATAAAGTTACATAGATTGAGATGGCTAGGTCACGTGCTGCGCATGCCTAACCATCGCCTCCCCCGACGGACGGGCATTACTAGCGGATATAGGTGCAGGTTGGAAAAGAGTAAATGGTGGCCAAACAAAAACATGGCCTCATCAATCCATGAAATCCTTGACAGTTAAACTGAGTCAGGTAGGGAGATGCAAACTTCCGGGTTGGGGCCCTCGGGACTCTAAGAATCAATGGCTGCAGACAATAGGTGACATGGCTCAAAATCGTTGTCAATGGCTTACGCAGATGTATTCAGTCTCTGTAATCTTTCATATTCCTTTCTACCATTACTCATTCTGTTTCACTCTTATACCTATCAAAACTCTATTGATTCTCTTCACTCATTTTCTTGTCTACTTTTGTGTGGTATTTGGAAGGTGGCAACTGGAACTGCTGCACTTCGGTGCCAAGTTCTATGTTGAATCCAGCCAGCCAGCAACAAACAATATGTTTCACCTACAGTATGCACCATTATCAGGCAGTTAATTAGTGATCTTCAGTGAAACGAAACTAAGAGACTACATGTTCACACGCACAAACACACATCTTATTTCAGGTTGTGAACCAAAATGACTTGGTGTAGGATTCTTTCTTCCTAGGTTTGGTGCACTTCATAATTCAAGTGTATTTTCACTGTGATTCTTCCACATCGTTTTCGCAAGACTATAATATGGAGATTTCTGGCTAATTTTTAACTACTGCAGTTGTCTACTGACTACAACAGTGTACCAAACTATTGTCCTCATCCTGATTAGTAAGGAATACTTTGTCTGCAAATAAACAGTCTGATGTCTATATCTTAGAGTGGCTTGAAGCGTAGAATGTACAGATTAGGCTGTTTTCAGAAGTATTGGAAGAATACGCAATACAACAATAGCACTATGGAGATAACGGAAGCTTCCTGTAAAATTGAGGTGGAGAACACTATCGAAGTCCAGTATCTACATTGTTTTGCAGTCAATTTTCTACTTATACTATGTAGAAGGGAAGTCGGTATTCATATATATATATATATATATATATATATATATATATATATAAGCTGAAGTTAGTGATTTGACGAGACTTGCTGAATGCAATTGAGAAAGTCAAGAGAATATTTCTATCGTATAGTAATGCTTCTTGATGTAACCGAATAGAAATTATAGAACCAGTGTTATGCCCCTCTACATAAAAATCTGCTGTCGTTTGCCTCAAATATTTTAAGAAGCAGGTTGTTAAAGAAACACTTCTTCATTAGTTAATGCAAGAATTGAAATATTTCCCACATGGAAATATTTTGAATCTTACTCACTACAGGATATCAGTCACTTCAAAAATGAAATCAAATTGCATTAATAAAGCTATAACAACGGAAGGCTGCCTACATAACTTTCATGCGGCAACCAAACCTGTGACCAGGTGGAATTCAAAGCCTATGTGTTCATATCTCTTTGGTTTACAATATTTACAAAGACTAGAACTAAAGAGAAAACAAAACACAAACATAGTTACTTACATTTTACGTGACATATCTTATATAAACCCAATGAAAGTGTACAACAATGGATCGCATTTAATCGCTTAAAAGTAGTATTGAATTATTAAAAAAAGAAAGAAAAATAAGTTAATCTATGCAATAGCATACATAATCTGCAGAATATGAATAAGAACTTGTTAATTTAGATGCAAAAATTACTAATCAACTCGTTTCACCAAGTAACTGAGATGGACACGATTCAGAGTTATAGGCATGAACAATTTCGAGAATATCTTCAGCTGAACAGGAAGATTTCGAAAGTAGCTGTTGACGAATAATGATAGCTAGAATAGTGTTACACTTCAGCAGTATTCCATCGATATATTTCCACTGACACGTACCAACCTAAAACCAATAATTTTACAAAAAGATGTAATGAGCATGCCTTATAAAGAGGAATTCTTTATTTTAAGCTGTCAAGGCGAAAAGGTCCCGAGATAATATTTCTAAAACACAAATCACCCTGTGGCCAGGAAACTTATAACCTTGAGTAAAACGCACTAGTACAAAAATTTCTGTCGTTCAGATTTCATAACTTCGATAAAAGACTTCGACATTCGACAACCTTCACTCGGGGTTTTGAGAAACTTTCTTTGTCATTATCAGTACACACATGAGGTGTCCCCAAAGACGTGATGAGACAGTCGCCGCGAATCTTCAGGCTACGTAACTTACTATTTTCCATGTGTTTTGCAACCTCGCGGCGACCGCTGTGTCCGATATCCGACTATTACCCACTGACTATCATCGTTCAGATTGTCGTACGTCTAATTTCCAGTATGCTATAGGAAGTCTCAATCTTTATATCTCCATAGGAGTATGTAGATAAATGCAGTTATCGGCTTTCTCCACAGATTCATTTACAAGGATGAATGTTAACACATACCGAAGACCACACACTATCTCTACAGACGCTAATCAACAACCGATTAATAGTGATTTAGTCGGGCTATATTTCCACACTATTACTAATTACAATTTTCCCAGTAACCAATTGCGATTCCATGTAGTTGGAAACCAGCCACACCTATTGTGTGAAGACTAGTTAGACTACCCTGGACTGCCCAAGTCTCGCTGTGTGAAGCAGGGTTAGGGCCAGTGATCCTCTGGCTTTAAGTCGAGTGCCTAGACAAGTGAGCCATAGGGGGGACGATATCGTGTGATTGTGAAGTAACGATAACCCGTAGCTGGTATGTACCGTATCACCATTGTAGTAAAATTTTACTGTAGATAATGAGTTATGTTACGAGAAACAGGGTTATTTTTGAAAAGAATTAGGAGAAACTTCCTTTTTTGAGCTGTGCATTGATGTCAAATGTTACGTGTCAAGAATACATTGTTGAGACAGACACAATTTGCAGTTGAAATATACTCCCAAAATGTTGAGGTGCTTTACTTTCACAAAACAGAAGTTTAAACCGACATATAGTCTTTCAAAAGTATCAAGATGATAAACAATCCAAACAACAGGTAAAAGAAAAAAAAGTATACTCTACCAGTTAGTTTCCACTTTGGAAGAAATCAATAAAGGCAAGACAGAAAGGCTTAGACAAACTGCTACCCATCTATCTGAATAACCATCAACATATAGAATTTTGAAGGCAAAATTTAATCTTGGTGTACTCACTTTATCCAAAATCATCTCAGGTAGTTGTTCAGCAACGGAAACCGCAATATTCTGTAGCCTTTTTAAAATTTTAGTTCTAGCTGGCATCCATCTTTCATTAAGATAACGGTTAAATTTACGTTCAGAAGCTAAGAGTTTTACATATCCTTCTCGGAATTCTTGAACCTCAGGAGTCTAAAAAAAACACAATGAATACAAAGTTCACAATACAATAATTGTATGAGGTAAATAGTTGATATAAATGTTATATTATCATAAAGAATACAAAACAATGTATCAGAGGAACAGATAATAGCTGGGTGGTTAACAGAAAAACATTAACAACTACATATCTATCCAAGGTTACTTAAATATGTATTTCCAAGAATTGGTTCTTAGGGATTGTATCTGTTTCAGGTCAGACCACGGATTGATATCAGTTAGAGAACCATTGGAAACAAGCTGGGAGTGCTGAAGAGCGGTTTCATTCTAGTTTGGGAGTCATCGTGAGTACGCACCCATTGGGTTTCGATACAACACAACACTCGGTAACTGGCTTAGATGTACAGCACAAACGAAGGTGACTACATTTAATATTAATAATTTAGTGAAAGTTAATACACTTATAGTGGTGTGATACTGACAGTGTGTGCCAATGGAATATTATTCTCACATATTCTCACAGTTCATTTCGGCATTACCAAAAGAATACAAAACATGGACCTCGACAGTCGTCATTCCATACAGAGCAGAGACGTCAGATGATATCAGAAGAGTACTCAATCAGCTCGACATTAGAGTTTTCTTCAAAACATCAGACACACTGCTAAACAACCTTGTCCATATAAAAGACCAGATCCCTAAAGATTCCCTATCTAATTGTGTCTGTAAAATAAAATGCTTGTAATGTGATGTGATATACATCGGACAAATATCACCAGAGATAAATCAAAATCAGAAGAAATGAACACCGTAGAGCATCTGTTCGACCACCGGGAAATTCAATTGAACTAGAAAAACTTGAAAATCATCAGCTATAGGTCTACATGCTATAGAATCAGGTCACAAAATAGATTTTGACAATATTGAAATAATCCAGAAAAACTTCGGAAATCATAAAGAACGTCTAATATCAGAAGCACTTCATATCAAGTGGAATTCAAATTGTCTGATGAATAGGAATGATGGACTAAAACAGAGTCTGACCTGGTTACAACACCTCCCTCTCCCATGAAGTGACAAAATCAACACGAATGTGATATGCAAGTTCACTATATAAATACACACTGCCTTTATAATTTTAAACACTTATCAAATCCAACAATCTACACTTGATTTTGTTATCTTTACCAATTGACCAACTTGATAACGAAAAATGACCCCAGAATAACGAACGATGATCAAGTTAGTAAACTTTGTTTTGATACCATAACAGACGCACTATTACCTTTGTTATTTAGTTTAGTGATCTTCATTGGTATTTTAAGTTTCAATATGTCCTTTTAACTTGACTTAAGTCTATTTTCTCACCCTTAACTCTTTGATATATATACTGAGATTTTGTAAATTCCGGTTTAATTATACTTTGATAAAGCTATTAGCATTAAATAGCGAAACGTCAGTAAAAACAATATCGTCTTGTTTTTCATTCATTGAGAACTACAAAAACTTTTATTATAATGAATATGCCCAAATTTTTTCAAACTGTTAAAAGTGAACTTGGTTTGGACATATATAGAATACAATATATCTATTTGAAGTTAGAGACAGAATACATTTCCCACGGTTGTATACTGCATTAACAACAGAATACTATGTATATTCGAACATTCTATGTCGTGTCGTTTGATGTCGACCGACATCACACGCTCAGTGATTGGTTAAAGAATACAAACAGTATATAGATAGACAGCGGCTCTATCACTTGGAAATATACCTTGGCTTCCGTGTCTTATCTTCTGTTGTTACACACTAACCGATCGCAATGAGTCTTGCTTCATATTAAGTGAAAAATCACAAACCGAATTACATAATTTACATTTAATGTAATAATAAAGATGTTGCTGGCTGGCTGGATTCAACATAGAACTTGGCACCGAAGTGCAGCAGTTCCAGTTGCCACCTTCCAAATACCACACAAAGGTAGACAGGAAAATGAGTGAAGAGAATCAATAGAGTTTTGATAGGTATAAGAGTGAAACAGAATGAGTAATGGTAGAAAGGAATATGAAAGATTACAGAGACTGAATACATCTGCGTAAGCCATTGACAACGATTTTGAGCCATGTCACCTATTGTCTCCAGCCATTGATTCTTAGAGTCGCGAGGGCGGGCCCCAACCCGGAAGTCTGCATCTCCCTACCTGACTCAGTTTAACAGTCAAGGATTTCATGGATTGATGAGGCCATGTTTTTGATTGGCCACCACTTACTCTTCCAACCTGCACCTATATCCGCTAGTAATGCCCGTCCGTCGGGGGAGGCGATGGTTAGGCATGCGCAGCACGTGACCTAGTCATCTCAATCTATGTAACTTTATAGCCTCTTCGATTGATTTTCCCTCTTTGCCCAACACTCTTCGCCTAACGTCAACATTACTTACTTTATTATACCACCTAACGCGAGAAAGATGTAATAACAGAAGCTTCAAATGCTGATACGAGGAACGGTTGTTTAAGGAAAAACAGATTGAAGAGATACGACTACAGAATGAGAATCGATTTACACAGAAAACAAACACATGTGGAACTCTAGACAGAAATGCATGAGATCAGATTGCCAGAGAGAAAGGTGGTAGAAATGTAATGCCACTGACATGAACCTAATCCTATTTTGACGTAACATATAGCTATTGAGGGAGGTATGGTTCGATATGCGTAGCATATTTCCTGGTTACGCTTACCAAACTCATTGACTTACTTACCCAACAACGCCTAGTCTTAACAAAAACTACTACTTTGCTACTTACCATGCAGACGAATGAATGATAATACCAGTGGGAGAAAATTGGTAGTCTCTTTGTGTTTTTCGACATCAGTAGCCGTTGGTGCAGCAGTGAGTAAATTAGTGAACACATTCAACAGGAGCCAAGTGCACGCCAAATATGTACGAATGTGTTTCCACAACCCGCTTAACAACTTCTAACGTTGTCATCCACACACTCTATAGGTTGTCGTTTGCTGATATAATTTCTAGGATTTCCAAACCAGACTAAGTCAAGTCTATTCGTATTCTAAGTGGAGAGCAACTGCGGTGCAGTTATAAGTCGTTTGAACTGCTTCCACCTAGAGTCCTGGGTACCTTTCATGGGCCGTCTTTAAATCCCGACAACATAGGAGATCGTTTCGCTTAATACATATGTTCTGCATTTCCTCTCATTAATATGCCTACGGAGTTTACGAATTAACCGAGTGTTGGTAATTATCGCACCACTTTCGTTTGTATCACTCACTACTGATCGCAGTCATCAAGAAGACTTTTAGTCGGTCTGTGTGTATCATTTCAGGCAAAACCAGAAGGAATTTCATAAGGACTTATGCTCGTAGAGATTCAACTATGCCGTATTTAGTGCAGGTGTTGTGTGGAGAAATCCACAACTAACAAGCATAAAGAATATGAACAACTTAGAGTTTCGGTATCTGAAATATTGTACTAGTCCGTCGAGTCTTCGGGGTATTATACAGCAACATTACAGATGCAACATTGTACCAAATGCTGAGAATTCGACACTGTAACATAAGCACTGTTCTGGAATAAAGCGAATCATTTTATTATTGTTGTTTACAGTAGTATCATAACACTTCGATTGCCTTCTCTTATGAATGGTTTTTTGAATTTCGACGATATGAACAGACACACTTCTGTGTAAAATTCTGCCTTGATTCGTGAAGCAGTCAATCTGCTTGCCGAGAACGACTAATAAGCGCAAAGAAGACGGATACCTCACTGATAATCAGTGTTTCAGTATCAGAAACATCGTACCAATCCATCGAGCCTTTAGCTGTAAGGGTCAGTCAGTCACTTCGAGGAATTAAACAGCAGCTAAATGGGACATCAAGCATGCTTATAACCAAAGGTTGAAGACTGTTGGTGGATGCTTGAAAATCGTCCATAACTGGGATATATTCCCTAACTGTCATCTTACAGTAAATCATCGTTTGTAATTTCATTATGTTTCTTGTCTCTCCTCTTAATGTGTGCTCTTTGGAATTGCAGCAGCTCAAGGAAATGCACTTTTATGCAGAGATAAACATTGTTCAGTCAGTGTGTCATGTAGTCTGCTACTAGACTTTCCAAGGTGAAATAAAGAATTCACCAGAGAAAAACATTATGATTTATCAAGTGACTAACTTTCATCGTTTGTTATTCACAGCGTCATATTAAAAGTTTAGCGTACTGCTATGAAACATATTACATTACACCGCATGCTTATTAGGGAACCAAGTGTACGCTAGAAGTGGAGTTGATTGGTAACGAACAACGGATTGTTTTGTATTCCCGTACCAAAGTATGTTGTCCACTATTGTAAACCTATCTGGAAAATCTATGCAATTCTATATCTTACTTTTACTTTACTTTACTTCGGCTATCTCCTACGGGAGGATGAACCGGCTTCATGAACATCTCGAATCATCGCTGCCTCATGAAGTTTCATGGGAATTTGGTACCAGTGATGTCCCCAGAATCGCTCGGCCTTTTGTGTGAGAGTGCAGCTCTAGCCTTTACACAACCAAGTGTGACCTACAAGGCAGTAGGAGTGGAGTAGGGAGTCCACTATCCATTGGCAGCCGGTAACCGGAGTTCGGTTCATACGCCTTTTTGAATGGGGCCAGACATCCAGGACATCCAACAAGCCCTTTGTTCATACGTCTGCCGGTGAGCTCCAGTGAGCTTCATACGCCAGTCGTTGGAGGTTTGGAATCAGGGTTTAGCCATCTCCCCTAGACTGTCATCCAATGGACAGTCAACCCGGTGAAGAGCACTGGGCATCCGCTTTTGCCCTCTCACTTTGGTGAAAAACACCTCCGCCACGTGAAGGCAGTGAGTAGGACTTCCTCAGGAGAGGCTATGTAAGACGCCCGGTCATATGGGAGCATTTCAAGAGGTGTGAGGAGGGGTGGCCAACCCGCAGCGCAAGGCACTTGACTGAGTGTAATCAGCTGTTACGGCAGCAACATGTGAAAATGATACAGTGCAATACACATATCGCCAGGCATAGTGAACTAACTGAGTTGGACATAACCCTTACTTTTCCAGCCTAATGTTCTACAGATTACTTATCATCCATTTCAGAAAGTAACACTTGATATATGTATCGAAGGTTAGTTGAACGAATGACTGAAATTGTTCACTTTACAAAAATATTTTCAAATTACCAAAACACACACACACAATAAAAAAAATTAATAATCAGGAAATCCATAAAAAAGATTGTCAACTCACCTTATCTTTCATCGGGAAATAACGATTCAATCTAGCAAAGCATAAGGAATAATTCTTGCTTTCTTTCGCTAATTCCAGGTAAAGGTGCATAATCTAAAATAGCGTATGCAACAAAAGAATATAAATTTTGCAATGGAAACTGGTGATATTGGATAATATATTTCAAGTTAAAAGAAGTGTCATTTTGGCGGTAACATTCTTTGTATCCAGACTCCTTTTATTTTTTTATTTTTTCTTGTCGGTTAACGCTTAAATCAAGTATCACTTTAGTTGTTCTACTATTCTAAATTACCGCACATATCATCATCTATCTTAAACAGAGAACTAAGACGACTAGCTTACCAGAGTTTATACAATCATAGTTAATAACTGTTACAACCTCTTAAGGCTGCTTATAGTGTGGTGAGAGCTGGCTGCTAGCCAAAGTTGGTAGACAGTAATTGACGTCAATGTTTATGTCCCCAATATTGGTGGTGAAAAAATGAGAACAAAGGCTTTGCGTAGGCGGATACAGTTAGCTTATGGATGATCTGACACAGCTACAAAGAGATGCAAGGTTAACTTTCTGTGAGAAACAACCAATCAAAAGACTGTATTTCATATTAACAATAATGTACATTAAAACCTATAAATATGTGTTGATTCTCCTTAATAAACGATTTGTGGCCTGGCTCTTGTCTTCTGTTTTTACAATAGTACTTACAATGCGTTCCGCAAGACAATGTATTGTGCACTACTTGGTAGGGACTTCCAGCCAACTATAGTTATTTGCATTCATCCCTACTGTTGCTTCGAAATGAATTTACTGAGTTCACTCGCTAAGATTAATTGAATCCGACCTAGTTATTTGTACGAATGGATGTAAATAAATAAGGATGAACGAACAATTTATAGTTTGCAGTGTACAAACAAAGAAAATTTTCTAAGTATGCTCATTTACTGGCAATAGAATACAAAATATAGACGTATCCATTCAATACTCTAGTACTTCTGACGGAATATTTATGAGCATTGTAGCTACATCAGTTATCTATGTGGGATATGAAATTCGCAGCAGCATTCATGGAATAGTCTTGTGCTTATTTAACAAGTTTCCCTAAATATTATTCTGACTTATTAGGCTTCTATACGGTTCTACAGCAATGATGATTAGAATTGGCATTAGTTTTTAACTGGATGTTTTACTTGGGATTTACTTCCCAAGAATGTTCCCCTAAAAGAATCGCCTAGTAGCTTATATTACAATATGAAATCGAACTAGAGAGGATAATTTGTTTTAAGTGATTCCCAAGCGACTGTGTCCTAAAATTATCAAACGTACGGTTACAAAGGTAATCAACAAAAAATACTGAGGGTTCATTGAAATATATCCACCAATTTCTGTTAGCGCTATTGGCAATTAAATACAGGAATAAAAGTTAGTTAGAATATTAATACAGGTAATAATAGTAATAATAATGCATTAGTGGCTGCTACAAATAAGTATGCGGGTGTATTTACAAACCTATCTGAAAAATCTATACCACCCTGAATCTTGTTGCACTCAATCAATCATACAGCAAACGAGTATACTGAGCAGGATAAAATGACATCGTTATATTTCGTCTGTTCTTGTCAACTGCATGCAACTATGAACGATTTAATATCAATATACAGAGTATTCAAACACTTTAGTTATTGATCATAAAGTTGAGGGTTATTAATATCACATTGTTAAGTAGTATAATGGAAAGGATTGAAAGTCTTTGTTAAGCTCGTTAGTATGTATAGAAATAATTGAGAAATATTCTAGAATTAAAAACGAATGCATCCAAAAAGAAACCGTCGTTGGTTTCGCTTCGACCTTGGTAAATATACTTTACGTTACTTAAGTGTCTTTTTGTTAATCTTGTTGTTCTAACTACATTTTGTTTTGACAGTGTAATTTCCTACTCTTATTTCGTATTTATCTATATTCTTGATCACGACCTTTCTGAACTCTATTGCACTAAATTATTTGACACTTACACAGGTGTACTAATGCCTGTACACCTCTATTCAGTGTGCAACATTCATTTTTAACTCTACAATATCTCTCAATTATTTCTATACATACTAACGAGCTTAACAAAGACTTCCAATCCTTTCCATTATACTACTTAACCATGTGATATTAATAACCCTCAACTTTATGATCAATAACTAAAGTGTTTGAATACTCTGTATATTGATATTAAATCGTTCATAGTTGCATGCAGTTGACAAGAACAGACGAAATATAATGATGTCATTTTATCCTGCTCAGTATATTCTTCTTACTTTTTTTCAAGTTTATCAAGGGAAATAATTGTGTGAAACAAGCAGGTGTTTATTTGCAGATTCAAAGGTAATTTAGGAGTTATTTTCTGACATTTCCTTATTCACACTATGTCCGCACGAAATATGATAGAACGCAAACATCATTATATATATAATTAAACAAAGATAAGGGCAGTTGGCATAGCGGTTACGACGCTCGCCGACCATGCACATGGTTCAGGGTTCGATCCCCGGCCGACGCACTCCTTGCCTCCAAAGCCTCAGGATGGTCGGGGGTGGGTGCCTTACGCTGCGGGTTGGCCACCCCTCCTCACACCTCTTGAAATGCTCCCATATGACCGGGCGTCTTACATAGCCTCTCCTGAGGAAGTCCTATTCACTGCCTTCACGTGGCGGAGGTGTTTTTCACCAAAGTGAGAGGGCAAAAGCGGATGCCCAGTGCTCTTCACCGGGTTGACTGTCCATTGGATGACAGTCTAGGGGAGATGGCTAAACCCTGATTCCAAACCTCCAACGACTGGCGTATGAAGCTCACTGGAGCTCACCGGCAGACGTATGAACAAAGGGCTTGTTGGATGTCCTGGATGTCTGGCCCCATTCAAAAAGGCGTATGAACCGAACTCCGGTTACCGGCTGCCAATGGATAGTGGACTCCCTACTCCACTCCTACTGCCTTGTAGGTCACACTTGGTTGTGTAAAGGCTAGAGCTGCACTCTCACACAAAAGGCCGAGCGATTCTGGGGACATCACTCGTACCAAATTCCCATGAAACTTCATGAGGCAGCGATGATTCGAGATGTTCATGAAGCCGGCTCATCCTCCCGTAGGAGATAGCCGAAGTAAAGTAAAGTAAGCTGTTGGCACTCTTGACGTACATCACTTATTGTCATCAATTTAGATGACATCTCTCTGAAAGCTTTTATACAGCTAAGTGAGTTCGAGTAGAGTGTCTTGATTAGTGCGATATACTTTCTTGGCACTCCCTTCACTACCAAACATTGCAGCAGATATGACCGATAGAACTTATAACCTGCCTGGTTTTCTCTTATTTGTTTCTGCCGACCACCACTTAGTCTACGCATGATCATCAAACCTACGACTTTACTTACCATACCCATGTTTACATTCCATTTAGGCATATATTACATGCTGGATAAATTAGATGTAGCTTTAGACCAGTTCAATTGCTCCTCGAAAATCTCCTGCCAAAGTCCCAGTCTTCTATCTTGAGAGATATTTGGGGTGCCGCTTTTCTGCGACATTGTCTTGCTTATAAGTTGTCTTTTAAAACCTGTTTCCCCATTATGCCTAAATAGTTGTCTGGTGATACCTATCACTAATGCCATCTCTTTCACATTTATCGCCTGCAACTGTTCGCGGTTACTGAAAGGAACTTTTAGTCAGCTTTTGCTCCTCACCATGTTTGGAGTAATCACACCGCTCGCATCTATTGGTTCGGACGAAGTAGCAGATATCTACTAGCATTTACTAGTGTTCCTGCAGCTGACTAGATATTATACCAGCCTTCCGCAGGATGTCTTGTTGTCAGTCTCAGGTATGTGTGTAGCTTTTCCTTCCTTGAATAGGGACTTAGTGCTCTCATCAAGTTTGGGACGCAGTGGAATCATTGCTGTCTGTTTTCCATGTCCATTCAATCACAGGTAAATACGTGCAAGGACTATGGAGTATTTGAAATCTAAGCAAATGTTCTGATAGAAGTGGAAGTCTTCCACCGACCCTCTCTCCAACGATAGCTTACCGCTATGTGGTCTATTTGAGTCCATCAATTATTTGTTAGTGGAGGGGTCACCAGGTTCGGCAATTCTCCTCTGTTTGTGTTTGAATTTAGTGCTGACCAGGAAAGGATGATTAGCTGAATAGGACTGTCGAACACGATTACCACTGTGAGTCCATCAGCATGGGACTCCATAGGTGCCGTCAAAATACATCTCTAAGTGGCACAACTTTCCTACTTGATCATTGAAGTCGTCTGCTAAAACGACTATATCTAAGCGTTTCGCTTTTAGCAGCAAATCAGACAGCTTTTAATATCATTTCACACTTTACTTCTTCCGAACTTGTCCGTAAGCGGAGATTATACAAAGATATTGAAGGATATTGAGATCTTTTTTTCTAGTGGATCGGCTCAGCTGAATAGCGTACATAAAACTACTTCTGAGATTCAGACAAGTAGAGATTTTACCGCCTTGGCGGTTAACTAGCTGAAAAATTTCCGAACACCCGTTACGTGAATTTTGCAGATCCTCCCCGGTGGAGATAAGTGAACAACATTATCCGAGTCTTGTACACATGTCTGCGAAACACAACACAACCATGACTGCAATTCTTCTCCGCTTCTATCACACGGGTGATGCCAATGAAATACCAATAGTGCATGTTAACTAGTAGATGTTTTTGCTTCTAAACCTTTCTACCCGACTAACTGCATGTTATCATGTTTACAGCAGAGTAGGATCATTAAGAACAGGTACTGATAAGTTTAGAAATAACTTGATTACTAATTTTCTTGTATGAAGCTTATAACCAATACTGTACGATGAACAGTGAAACACTCTGATAGCTCTTAAATGCACTGAATACCAGACAATACGGATTTATTTGGAGCACATAAAACAATTTAGTGAAACAATATGTTGAATATATATTAGTTAACAAGAAAATCTTCGGACTGAGAAGCAAGTATACGAACCGTCACAAGACAATTGCAGAGCCATGTATGATTTATATGCTTTTTTTCTGGTCTGTAATATACTTTTTGGGAAACATGTCTTATCGATGATAGAAAAATCTAGAATTTGTGAGTTGAAATATGCATGTGTCCAGAGATCAAGATGGAAATTTGGTTTAAAGTACATCGTAAGAATAAAATATAAATAGGCACTTACTACACGTTTCGATTCATTTACATATTCACTAATATATTTTTTATATCTGGATGAATCATCTAAGACTTGACGAAAACTATCAGCTGCCACGATTAAAATATGCAGAAGATCTGGTAAGCCACTGCATGAAGAACTACTACAGGATTTATTATAAATAGGATTTCCATATTGAATTTTAGGAAACAACATAGCTGCACAACACCAAACAGCTAACCGAGGAGGATTGGCGGAAAATTGTGAGTAGAGTTGAATAACTGAAGTTGCAGAAAAGAAAAAAAATGATATGAAGTGACAACAAAGAATGCTTATTACTTTTGTTTTAAATCAATAATAAAAACAAGGGAACCCAATTACCAAGGATCACTTCAAAGGACTCTTGAACCGACCACCACCTGCAACTCGTCCAGAAATACCAAAAACAGCGCATACACAACTGCAAGTTGACACCGATCCTCCAACGAAAGCTGAAGTCTTGAATGCAATCAAGCTTCTGAAAGCTGGAAAAGCAGATGGACCAGATGGAATACCCTCGGAAGCACTGAAAGCGGACCCAGAGACAACAGCAGATATGCTGACTTCATTATTGCAATAGGTCTGGAAGGAGGGAAAGGTGCCTACTGACTGGAGAAAAGGTTACCTTGTGAAACTACCAAAGAAGGGCGACTCAGGACTCTGCAAGAACTGGCGAGGAATCATGCTGCTGTCGACGCCAAGTAAAATTCTGAGTCGCATCATCCTGGAGAGAATCAAGGATGCACTGGATATAGAACTCCGACCAGAACAAGCTGGATTCAGGAAAGGCAAATCATGTTCTGACCAAATTGCAACTCTACGCATCATCATTGAACAAAGCATGGAATGGCAGTCAAACCTCTACCTCAACTTTATAGACTTCGAGAAGGCCTTCGACAGCGTTGACCGCGAAGTAATTTGGAAACTACTCGAGTACTGCGGCGTACCCCAAATCTTCATCAACCTTATTCAACAGCGGTACGACAACGGCACATGTCAAGTGATCCACAACGGAAAACTCAGTGAAGCGTTTGGAGTAAACACAGGAGTCAGACAAGGGTGCTTATTATCACCAATGATATTCTTAATTGTGGTGGACTGGATTATGTGTCAGACAGTGGGAAACAAGAAGACAGTGATATCCTGGACCGACATGAAGAACCTAGAAGACCTGGATTTCGCGGATGACTTATGTCTGATGTCACACAAAATCGGAGACTTACAAGCGAAAACCGACAAACTGGTCGAAGAAGCAGCCAGAGAAGACAGGACGCCAGGTGAACATACACAAGACGGAGGTCATGAAAATAACCAACCAACAACAAAAGCAGCAACACCCAGCGCCAATCACCACCAACGAGAGGGATTTGAAAGAGGCTACTTCATTCACTTATCTAGGGAGCATTGTCTCAACTACAGGAGGAACGGACGAAGATGTCAAATCGAGAATTGGGAAGGTGAAAAACACATTCATCGACCTGAAACCAATCTGGAAATCTTCTTCACTCAACTCAGCATCAACAACAAAATTCGGATTTTCAATACAAACGTCAAGTCAGTCAGTTCTTCTATACGGATCAGAAACTTGGCGGGTCACCAAGAATATTTCCAACAGCCTGTTGCAGACCTTTATCAACAACTGTCTTCGTTCTATACTGAAGATCAGATAGCCGGAAAGAATCACCAACAAGAAACTATGGGAACAAACAAAACAAGAAACAATCGCTCAACTAATAAGCAGGAGAAAGTGTAGATGGATTGAACACTCGCTGAGGAGGCCGCTGGGTGACATCGCGCATCAGGCCATAGCTCGAGTGGAACCCGAAAGGAAAGCGGCGAGTGGGACGTCCAAGGGTGACATGGAGAAGATCGTGTGAAGAGGATTTGAAACAGTATGGACTAACATGGATGCAGGTGAAAAGTACAGCGGAAGACAAAAGCAAGTGGTGACGTGCAGTTTTAGCCTTATGTCCCACTAGGAACCCAAGGGAACAATAATAATAATATAATAATATGTAACTGGTGGATGGAGTTTAAGCTTTCAAGACAAATCGTAAACCTAAATTTGGGTTAAGCCTTGTAAACTAGTCTGACTAAAATGATTACGTTCGATGTTTATAGTCCATTGACCTAAATATATGTATATAAATACACATATGAAATGCAAATGGTTTCGAACTCCGGTGGACACGTACCGCTAACGAGTCCCAAACTAGAACGAAACAGCTGTCCAGTACTCCCTAGTTTTTAATGGTTCTCTAACTGACATCGATCCGTGGGCAAACTTGAAAAACAAAAGAGTTGCTTTCTTCGAATTGGTGCAAAGAACGGAGAAGTTGCTTACACTCTATTTATTCCTGAGCAGATGAATGAAAAGTCACTGAGGTCCCACAGAATACATAGAATATGGAGTGTTGAAAAAATGTTCACCAAATAATTTAAAATCGATTTTTGGGTATTACAAAAACTTTGCACATTGTTCAATTAATTACCTTTTTCTGCTGCTTCTGCGTAACCTTTTCGAAGAGCGAATATTAAAAGACTACTCAACAGAAATTCGTCTTTGCTTTCTGATTAGTGAAAGGTTTTCAAAATTGAAATGAACTTACTACAAACATTCTCACTGGAAAATCCATGTAAATCTTCCGCAGAATCAAGATCTACTGTAAATGCCTACATTGTAGAAATAGTGAACGAAACAGAAATTTTTAGATCAAGAAAGCTGATACTCAAGAGTAAATACACTGATCTTTGAAAAAGTCAAACTCTGCGTTAAATACTTGCCTTGATCTTGCTTTTGAAGACCTAAATGACATAAGAAATGTGATTTACACGTAACTTTTAAAATACTAAATAATACTATATACTAGTAATATACACTTACAAACTGCAGATCAGATCACAGCACGAATTCTGAAATTTCAACAACTTGTGATACTACCCAATTGGAAAGTACTAATACAAGTGCATTGTAAGTTGGAAAACAAGTTACTAAATAATCACTATTATTGTGACAGCTCAAAAGTGTACCACCTTACATTCACAATGCTAATACTTACATAGTTTCAAATAGCAACCTATTCGCAATGATCCGCACCACTAGTGATAATTTTCAGAATGACACATAACATACGACACTTTTTTTCCCGAGTCCGACTAAATGCAATACGTATACTACATTCATAATTAACTAAAATCAACACAGAACCCCATAAAATTAAAACAAGTACAGAGACAAAGTGGTTCACCTAGTTCACCAATGCACCTCTTGCCAATCACAGTATAAAAAATCACTGCAAACATAAAGTTATTCCACAAGAAGTGTTTATATTCGCAACAAAATATATTTGGAAGAGCTTAAACAGCAAAACGAAATATGTTGGAGTCATGTTATGTACACAGTGAAAAGTTAATCAATATCACGCTAGTCTTTCTTCAAGCGCCCATTTTCGAGTTTGTCCAAGGAAAAATACAGGCGGCTAAGCAGACAAAAGTATCCACATGGAACAATAGTCTAAAATAAATAAAAATGAAGTAAAACAATGTCCTTACTGCACTGTAATCTTTTAAAGCAACTTGACAATATGTTGTCAGCATCATAAGAGCCATAATCCCCAGGCAAGCGAACTTCTTGAAAGATACGTGTCCAACTACCAAAGTAGTACCCAGAATTAATTCAAAAACGCCCATGGACTGCATGTAAATTTGAGGACTAGGGACAACTCCAATGTGTTTTAATGGTGATACTTCCGTGAAATTCTTGAAAGTCTTTAACTGATATTATCCAGTCGATGCTCAAAAAAGAAAGGGACAACTCACCATCTCCCGATACAGAGTTGTGTTCAGTCGTACTGTTTTTACAATTCCAGGAAGTATAAACAGTAATCCAAGGACCACGGTTGACACATGTGTAGCAATATGCGAGGCCATATTGCTGTTCTGAAAAACTGTCGAGACAATATTTGATGTCAACAGATTTAAACGTAAACAATCTTGAAACGAACTCGAAAATTATGTATAACACTAAGAAGCAATGGATTACTGCATACTAAACAATGATTGAAATCAAAACCCTTAATATACATACATCCAGATATTACCTCGTGCCATGTAATAAGATGGAATGAATATGGGCTTAAAGCCTACAAACGAATCGCAGCAACACCCTACAAACGACTGGTGTATTTCAAATATTCCGAAAACGATAATATTCAGCGGCAGTGTGGCAGTTTAGTGTCTGGGAGTGAACTGATAGGTGTGGTAAGGACCTTGAATGCAGCAAATAGCTGGGGGTCATGACGCAAAAAATTACTGCTCAAAAATATACTGTCCACTGCGTGTGAAACGGACAGTCTGGTTGGGGACCGCTGATGACACTTATGTAACATTTTCGCGATGGGACAGATGCGACCGTCCTTAATTAACTGAAAGATGCATCGAATACTAATTAATCCCTATTGTCTTATTCTCACTCCCACATACTTCCATTTATTTGAGGTCCTTTGTGTGTGGGATTTCACGTGTGGCAACTTGAACCGCTACACTTTTGTGTACATTTGCACTTCGGTTCTACGTTGGAACTCAGTGATTTCAACGAAAAGGAATGATATTCAATACATTCTTGAAAGGCATACTTTACCCATAAATGACAGCTCTGAACAAGAGAAAGTGAAATTGCAGATAACTGATATGGTATCAGTTCTGGACTTAAACTTAAAAAACACTAGGAAATATTATTCGAGATTACTAACACACAGGTCATGAAAAAGCTGACACACAATTGTCAAAGCTTGAAAACACGCATTACACTGTCATTCATGGACACAGTTACGGATACAAACATTGCGTAGAATGCTCAAACGACCGCATTAACACTAAATTAACACCAGTCAACAGCTCTTAAAACGACAGAGCCCAACTACTTACCTAAGTGTGAGCTATAAACTAGCCCTTAACATAAAAAAACATGCAGATAATTTTCGCACACTGGTGATGAAATTTTAATAAGGTTAATCAGATTATATGTTTAACGTTAACACCAACCCTCCGAGACTTATAAGAAGTCAACCTTAACGACCCTTAATTAACACATTCATATAGTGTATTAATATTGATTTATTTTGCCGTAATATATTCCAATTATTTTCCGGTACGAAAATGGATGTCTAATACTATGGCAAAAGTGCTATTATTCAACGGTGCACGTGTACTGTAGAGAATCATATTAGATTCACACACTCCGCATTCCTTCAATCAAATTAAAATTTGCTACTATTTACCACAGTGACTAAAGAGTCAGTAACTCTTACAAAAATGTTGCGAATTGTTATCCCGCTATCTGATCAATATTACCGAAAGCACCGCCTTGGAGAAAAAGTTTGAAACTGGCGCGAATCAAAACACATACGAAGCAAATGCTTAGTATTTGAAGTTCAGATAGATATTATATCTAATTGTAAGCTTAATGGCGTGAAGCTTACGAGATAAATCTATAACATAAAAATAGCTGCCTGTGTTATGTGCGTCAGCGGTACAGTGCTACAATACTCGTGGTTCAGTGTTTGATCCCCGGAAGAGGGATACCTATACCTCGCTAAGCCTGTAAGTAGCCTGATAAAAAGTCAAGGCAGGATAAGAAGCAAAATTAACAACACTGCTACCGATATGTTTCAGCTCGTACTTGAAGATCTTGCATGAGAACGAGAAGGAATATAACTAAAAAAGTGAGTGTATTTTACTCAGTTAAAGGTGACATGATATGAAAATGTAACTGAACATGTTGAGCAGCAAGGCAACAATTATATATTTATATCGGTCGCTTGAGTGGGATTCCAGTTTGATCTCATTCAAATTACCTCTTCATTTTGTTTCTTGAATTTCCATTCAGTCATGAATAGTGGCATTTCCGAAAAAGCGCAAATGATGGGAGACCAAGGCACCTATTTCTTAAAAGTTTTCATACATCGACTCCAGTGGATTAATTCTCGCTCTCTTAATTGCTTTGCCAAATAAATTCTGAACAATCAATAAACTTGCTGCTGTAGAATATGGTTGCATTGGTCCACCTTGAGACTACTTGCAGCCAAAGAGAAAAAGAAGGGCTGTCTTTGGGCTTTGACAGCTTTTGTCACTGCTATTAAGTTGCAAGGCATCCACCTGAGGAGTCGCTAATATCGACTTAAGTAAAGTAACTGATATATTCAATGGTAATTCGAAAAAGGAAGGAAAAGTTTTGCAGGAATCTAGGGAAAATTCTACTTTCCTGATAACGGAACCGAAGCCGTTATAGAAAGAAGAATAGCCTTGAAAGTTGGTAGATTAAGAAGGTGTATGCTGCATCGTACTTGTGTGGTGAGAGCAAGCTGCCAACTAATTGGTAGAGATTGATCTACGCTGATTGGTAGAAATTAATCTAGGCTGATTCAACAACCAATCACAGCTGACCTAAACGTGGACAAATATGATTCGCAGACAAGTGGCTCGCATTTCCGAAAAATATCGAAAACGAGAAAGCAGAAGACTGCGTTTGTTTGCAAACAACCAATCAGAAGACCGCCTTCTTTCTGCGGGCAGAAGCCTTATTAATGTACGTAAATTACATATAAATACCTGTTGGTTTTCGTAATAAAACGGATCTGTTGCCAGCCTTGTCTTCTGTTGTTACACTTGTTCTTCACACAACATAGATAAATGCATGACATGCCAGTCACTACAGCAAGGAAGCTTCCTGGTTTTGTGTTAGCGAACTTCCTCACCAGCTGATTCGAGAGCCGACTGTTCTAATCTCATCTGGTCAGGACAAACATCACAATACAAAACCAATGATACAGCTGCAGAAAGGAGGAAGACAGACCACTGAGTAAAGAGATTTTGCTATTCCACATCAACAGTTCAGCTAGCAGCTATGACAAAATCAAATATATAGAGATTCAGAAGTGTCGAATCAACTAGCAGACTAAATATCTATACCACTTGACAACTATTATTTAACAGAGATAAATTCAATTGATATACGCGATATACACTTGCAGAATTACACAGAATTCAGGTTATAAGGCAGCAATACTAATGGCATATAACATCGCGTTGCTCTGTTTAATCTAAAAGCTGTTGTCAGTGATGGTGAACACAGGTGAATTTCAACTTACTTGTTTATTCGAACTAGTTTCAAGTTCTTGTGGCTTTGACGTTCTCCAGTTGGACATCGAGAAGTGAAGGCTTCCTGGTTAGGGTCCTCGGGATGGTAAGAACCGATGACTGGAGATAATTGGTGATTTGGCTAAAAATCGTTCTCGATGATGGCGCAGATGCATTCACTCTTGGTGATTTGTCAAACCCAATAAAATTCTATTGTCCTTCCATATTACTATTCCCTTTCCCTCACACTAGTGTTTTTTATTTCTTTTTTGAATCTCTGTTCACTCTGTTGTCTTGCTTTGTCTAATACATGCAGTGCGGCAACTCGAACTGCTGCACATGTGTGCAAATTTCTATGTCGAAACCAGTCAGTCAGGATCGGAAACATCAATGAATATTATGATGACGTTGTTTGTGGACTTCTGAAAGTGTATAGGTAGCAACTCACAGCTAGTCGCGTAGCCACTGACTTTTGATAACCAATTTTCCACTTACCGTCCGTCTTTCAGTATCGCCTACGTTGAAATCAAATTGGTTAGTATATAGTTAAAGTAGTATTCTGAGTTCTGGAGTATTTTTAATTGGGTGCAGTAAGTTTTCCTGATACCGTTATTGACAGCTGTTATTATGACAATGATGACCCCAGTTGGATTAGCTCGATTAAGTAAACGAAAATTCACTGTTAGAAATACGAAAATGTCTGCATAAAACCCATTATGTGCAGTTTACTCAAGGGCGGAGAGATGTTTAGGAACCTTCGAAGCACTAAGTAAACAGTATTAAATATGAAAGAGATTCAACAGTATATCTTTTACACAGGCAAGTTTTCAAAAATTCACAGCGTAAGTGTTCTTTCAGCTTAAATGAGACGAAGAGGGATGAACTTAGAGTGTCGTACTTTGAGGACTGTTGCAAGGTGAATTATACGACACTTACAGAGGCATTTGGAAGCCAGAAAATCTTTTTTAACCACCACATACATTTTTGTTTGAGAAAGATACACAGACTGGAGGCAGCCCACTAATCAATATGACCTTGTCTTTTTTCTTCTGATCGCCGTGTGATTATCAATCATCTTAGTGTAAATTCTCACCACTTCAGTTTTACCTTGCGTTTAGGTCACATTCACTTTTCATGCATATATGTCACCTACTGTTATAACTAATGAGAACACTCTACTCGCAAAGATGCTTCTGATGGATACATTATACTGCATTTGGAAATATGTAATTGAATGAAGAGGCTGCCATCGGTATTGTGGATGACTGACAGTTTTGTTCTTCGGAAGTCATATTTTTCATTAAATTTTAGTTAGGTCTAACTGGACATTATCAGAAAAGAGTTCTATAGGTTTGATAAACTTATGCGAGGGGTAGAAAACTCGTCAATCCAATTTAGCAGCAGGCATTATATGTTCGTCGATCAGTTCGTTTATCTCTGCTGATGAAGTCCAATGAGGACGGATATCAAGCATTTGTTTTTAAGAAAAATGAATGATGGTTGTTGCACTGTTAGGAATTGTTATAATAATGGAAACTCCCAATATTCCCCAGGTACACTTAAAGGGGAGATTAAGGCAAGATGTCATTCCATCAACATACGAAGGCTTTTAGGTTCTCCGTGGGAATCTGTTTATTATGGATGGTCTGAGAAGTAAAACAGGTTGACTGACTTGGACTTAGGCATATCAAGGTGGCTTGTCATACAACAATATAAATGTCTCTATAAGTTTCATATGAAAGTAAATGTTGGTTTAATATCCTTAGTCACCTTCACCCTGCCAAAAAAATATGACTAATATTTAATCCCTAAAAGCTTCGTGCAAAACCTTCTGCTAGAATTCCACTATGTATAAGATTTTATTTTGATAAATCACGCAGTGTCACACAGTAATATTAACTGATGACGTTTCGAGCACAAATTATTACTGCTCATAATCACATCAAGTTACTCACACCTTTTTCTTCATTTATATACACGGGTGAAATTAATTACACATTTGATAAAAATCAATATAAGGTAAGGTACATTCGGAAATAATATTAGTGTTATTGGTCAAATACAATCAGATGGGAAATAAAATGATTTTATAGTAAAAATAAGTAACTTGTTAGCATGTTATAATGTATGTGAAATGAAACAGAATTTTAAGATTATTTATTATCCTCCTCTGATTTTACTGGCGGTAATAATATTTTCCATATCTCTGGTATTTGTGTTGAGTCATTTCTGTTGCATGTGTTGGGTGTGTAGACTCGATGAACCAGGATTCGGTAATCATTCTCTCTTCCCACCTACATAGATTACTTCTCAGAATCTTAACGCTCTCCCACCCATCCTATTGTGCGGTTGTTTGTTAATGCGTGCAGTGCAATTGCTGAGCTTTTTCTTCTCTGGGTCAACCATTCTGCCCTTAGCTAAATTCTTATGTTCCGACAATCTGATTACTCAACCGACTAGTTTGACCTATGTAGTTGACCTGACTCACAGTCATTGCAGGGTATTTTGTAAATTATATTATTTTGTCTAATTGGGTCAACTGGTTCCTTTAATCTACAGAGCTTGTCTCACCTGAGTGAGTTTGTAGGTTTGAATGCCACCCTGATTCCTGCTTTATTGAGAATCCTACGTAGGGTCTCAGATGTCCCCTCCTTATATGGTATAACAGTAGATGACTTATATTCTCTCTTATTTATGTGATCATTACTAGTTTCACAGTTACTTTTATTTTGCTTTTGTCCTTTTCTGATCTTCTTATGAATTTTATAGGATAGTTATTTGATACCAACCCCTCTTTCTGTTTCATTTCATAGTTAAGGTCTTTTCTTGTACCACTTAGTGCTACTGCTCGGTTTGCTAGACATTTAACCAAGCCTGCCTTAACATTTAACGGATGAGACGAATTAAAATCTAAATATCTATTAGAATGCGTTGGTTTTCTATAAACACTAGTGCGAAGTTTACCTTCTGTTCTATTTACTTTACAATCTAGCATAACTAATTCTCCTTGTTCATTTTCCGAATCAAATATGAATTTTAATCCCTCTACTAGTGAGTTTATATGTGCAAAGAAGCTAGAGATATGTTCTGTTTTTAACACTGTGAAAGTGTCATCCACATATCTCCACCATATTTTAGTGATTAAATGTATTTAGAGCAATATTTTCCCAACTGTCCATAAATATATCTGCTACGACAGGGGATATTAGTGATCCCATTGCTACACCAAATGTTTGTTTATATATTTTGTCCCAAAATTTAAAGATGGTAGATGTGAGGTATAACTGAATTCCTTAAATAATTTTCCAAGTGGGCAGCCATGCTCTATGACTAAGTTCGGGATCAGGCGTTAGTTCCCTTTTAACCGCTTTTAAGACCATATTGATTGGTATATTAGTATAAAGACTAGTTACATCGAAACTAACCATTTTTTCATTATTCTATAATTGAATGTTATCAAGTTTCCTTTTCATTTCATACGAATTAGTTAGCCTAGATTTTGAATGATTTCTACCACGGGGCGAAAATTCTATGGTTATATCACTATGGGGATACTTGAAATATTTAACTGTCGGTTTCGCGTGAACTCACTGGTGGCAATTCAAGTCATCAACTCATCTATTCTCCTAACTTTCGCTTCTTCATCTTAGCATTTCCAGAGTTACTTTCTCGTAATTGTAGAGTATTTTCGTCACTAGAAAACTGACTGTGCTAACATGCTCGTTCAAGAAATGGTCATGGTTTAAGTGGGTGACCTCAAACATTTTCTCAAAACATTCGCAGAAGCTTATACTACTGCCGGAAGATAACTTTCGAAAATCCGGACTACCTTATCTTAACCAACATTATTTAAGGACAAGTCATCCTAAGAGGTTACGGGAATGATTTGAAGATTCCGTATTCAGTCAACAAATAGCTGTGGATTAAACCAACGTTTGAAGGAGCTCAGTAACCTGCAGTTATTGCGAAATTCACCTTAGATTAGTATCTCTGAAATTAATTAAACTGCATGCTAGTTATCACCAACTGAGACAGTCCTAATGTTCTCTGTAGGGGGTCAAGAATAAGGAACCTAAATTCATGTGGTATTACGTGGGTTATTTCTACGGGTGTGAAAGCAGCACAGTCGTATCAAATATCCTTTCATAACGACATCAATGAGAAAATACTGTTTTGTTGAAACCCCTGTGCAACGACTGCATATCAAGTGGATTGTTAAAGGAGTCCGCAGATCTACAAAATAAGCGCTGCCAACAAATCCATCAGAAATGATTAGATGGGAATTCCTCTGTGTTCAGTAATCCATACCTGAACAAAAAACGAATGGACCTCTGCAGTGTGGTTAAAATGTGGTAATCGGTATAAAATCAGAGTGGAGTTAGATGAAAGAGCTCAAGGAATGATGACTTGGTAGGCTTAAATTTAGGAGTAGATCAAACACTGTTGACATAGATTCAAATTTAAACATGAGCAGCGCCCTGATGAAAAGTGTTTTCGCATTAAGAAATAACGAGCATTTTTTTGTCAGCACATCTTCCTATTAGATTGGGTGACAGCTTTAAACTTGAGTTCTAGATAACTTAGAAAGTCTGTATTTTACTGCCTTCTGAGTAACGAAATCGTGTCTTTCCTGTCACACAACAGACAGTTCTTAGACGCGATAAAGCCACTATCACTTTCACTGAGGTTTACATACGTTCCTATAATACAGCTACAAACTGAGAGCCATAGGATCCAAACCAAAATGCATGGCCTCAGACACATACATTACGGGAGTTTAACGTAACCATGTAAGTGGGCCTGACCATTTCCCTCTGGATGAATTGGATAAATGAACTTCTGAATTCAGACACCTAAGAAACATAGAGGAGGCATTTAAAATCAGAGAAATGTACTGAAGACTTTCGTACCAAAACCATTACTAAAAATTGTGCTCAAAAAAGCCTATTCTTGCGGCATCGATTGACACTTGTCAATCTCCTTTGCTTAAATGGTTAAGATATTACCTAAGTTGGGAGAATAAACACCATTGTGAACGTACTACACCAGATTTTTGTGTGTGCTAATACCAGATGTATTGTATTGTCATCATGATTCACTATCCATACCAAAGCATTTGCACAAACCATTCAATCAGTCTGTAATTACTCGGGCAGGAATGTGACGGAAGCGAAACTAAGTCAAACAATTACTGTTTTAGAAGTTATGTTAAGGTCATTTCGTGAAGACATTTTATCAACATACATATCTAGAAACACTTTGACTAGGAATGCAGACTTTGAATATCAGTCAGGTCACAAGAATAGCAGAAGTGCAGAAGACCTGGTCAAATGCATACTCGTAAAGCGAACCTTGGAATAACCTGTGGAGTACTGGAATTTTACTTCAGTAAGGTTTAATACCTAGATTTATTTTCGATGTAGCTGTGATTAATTACTAGGAGGGGCAAATGTTTGTAAGAGAATCAGCATCTTGTCAGTCCACTTTCCTAACACTTAATTAAGAATTTTGGGAATCAGTTTTCCGTCAAATTGGGAATTTCGCCTTCACAGTAATGTACCTAATCAACTTTGACGAAAAGAGACATGATATGAAAAGAATTAATCCTACATTTTCTCGTTCTCGAATTATGACAACAACTACGGCTGACTTTCTGACTTTCAGATGACCTCATGTCCACTTCACATTGCTTGATTGTAATGTAATGAATGTTGTGGAGGGTTGTGGTTTATTTCCTCGCGTTTCAAGGCAAACGCTCACACTGAGGGCTTTCGCATACAGCTTGAAACTGGATGTATCCCAATTTCTCTCCTCTTTCAGCAAGCTTTTCTTCAACTGCATTGATGCAATCACACACACGGCAGGTAAAGTGGCGTCTTCGAAAAGCTGTCGTGCTATCAGTATTGAACACTACAAATTCTTATAATCAACTTGTCATTCCTCTGATGCTAATCACAGGATTCATATAATGAAATTCTAACAAGTAACTTGGTAAATTGTATTGAATGATAGTGAATTGTCTTGCTAATTCTCCTCATCTAGTCCTGACCCCCTTCCATTTTACCACTGTTTCTTTCCGTTAGTCTGTTTATTTGTAGTCATACAGTAATCCCTGTTAATTTTATTTTCTTGCAGGAAACTAGCGACTAGCTAATTAAAGTAATTATTCATCTAAAATAACTTCACAGTTACACTAACTTTACGTTCAACTCTATCCAAGGCTTTTGCAGACGAACATTAAAACGAAGGAGAAGGTGTTGAGCAACCATTGTGATACCTACTATGCTGGAAACTTGTATAGGTTCTATGTACAAGTATTTGTTTATGTTTCGCACCATGCAAGTTAATAAGTTAGTATTTCGTGTTGCTCTAGGAAAACCAGTCTCCGGGTTATTTATTTCAGTATCCACCTAGTAGGTATTGACAGGAGACTTGAATCTTAGAGATTTTGTTTAACATATTCAGAAGTCAAGGACAAACTAGCCAGACCTTGAAATGATCAGCTTAACCAAATTTTCGGGTTTTTATGGTTAAAAGTTATCGAGGCTTATTCATACGTTCGCCTCGAAAATTCTTGGCGCTTTGAAATAATGCCTGCTTTGGTGTTTTTAGGAAGAGCATGGGCATTCGCCTCAGACGATTTTGTTTGCACAGGTTTGAGTAATTTTTTACTGAGATTGTCCTGGTTTGTCATATCTTCCCGTTAATTTTTGTTAACAGTGTTTGTATCATGGCTGTACCACTTCTTCTTGCAAAAAACGTCTCCGTTTGCTTTTCCGACATAGCATCCAAGGTATTTTTTCTTACTTTCACTAAAATATTATTTTAATAGGTCTTTTGCATAGCCATGTTTGTTGTAATGGCTGTTTTGCTGATTCTCGACGCCTTACTTTCACTGTTCAGCAGCAAGGGAGGTGTTATGGATACAAATTTACGCAGAAATGTTCCTCATGTACTTGGCACAGTCTGTCTTTTTTCTTTGGTGTTACTGGTGCTGAATTGTATCAATTTGTATTTTGCCTACAATGCATATAACCTTTGCGAAATACAGGTTAGCTTTGTTGTCAAACTTCCCTTTGCATTATTTTGCTCTTCACCTCTCCAATTTTGTAATTATTTACCAATTATTTACCAGTATTACAGTCTGTATACATAGGTGTAGTCTGAGGACAGATTATGCATGAATACATCGCGATTGTGTGAACTGAATGATCGCTAAAACTTCTGAGAGTTTTTGGATGGATCCCCAATATCTTTTGCTGATAGGTTTAATAGGCGTGTAAATTTCAATTTTATTCTTGTTATAGGCAATGTTTTTTTTTTTTGAGTGAAAGAGCTTTGACGTCTAGTTTCACCACTAATAACAGTCTACATCTAAGCACGCTGTGGAATATATTCTAAAGCCTTCACTAGCACAGGTCAATGGGTCCTTATTTATGTGAAATCATAGTTATATATAAAGCTATGGATAAAGTGCAGTGTGGTATAATTTTTCTCATGTTCCTAGTTTTTAGACGGATATTCAGTAAAGTCTAGTAAAGCTTCTAGCTCGTTGCGATCAGGTACTTGGCAAAGTCCAAAGCATACAGGTCACATTTATTTATTTGTATTTTCTCAATTTGTCTACTTATATTTGTTCAGATAAGTTTTTCCAAGGCATTTCTATACAAAATTCTTTTGAGATTGGTCACTCAAGATTATAAAAATATGCTCATTTCTTACGGAGAAGTATTACGTTGGCTCGGTCATTTAAACGTTTACATGTGTCATCGCAAATAAGGGTGTACAGTTCCTCAGCTTTCTAAGGTGTCTTTCGTGGGGAGCTAGTGGTTATGACCAACCACAATATAAAATGGTTGTGTTTAATTCTGTCCACTAACCGTCAAAATGTTCTAATGAAATGTTCTCTCATAACCGTGTGGGCATTATCACTTTTTCGGCAGGTCACTCAGTCATTGACGCTACTCAGGTGGAATTATCCCTTTAGTTAAAAACACCGACAACTTCCAGATATTTGATAGTCATATCATCACCGACAGGCTGATTGTCATTTAAAATTCCTAAGTGAATATAAAAGGTTCACTAACTTGCACTAGCTTACATCACTAGTAGTGCGAATAAGGTATGCATTTTTTAACTTAGAGTTTCGGGTACGTGACCAACGTTAACTTCGTTGTATTCAGTTAAGTCACCATGTAGGCTTTGTGGAGGTAATGCAGCTAATTTAATCGATAAAACTGTAAACAGTTAATAAGCTTAACTTATCACGTAATGCTGGCTCAAGTAGAAAGCCTATGTAAATTAGTAATATGCAGAGTCACTAGCTTTTGAAATGAATCACGTAAGGAAGTGCAGTTGTTCGATTAAAATTTATGGGAAAAATGGTTTGTTACAATGTGAACTCTTTATAAACATCTAAATTCACCCAAGGTGATTTAATATGGTTGGCAAACATATTGCTCAAAAGAATGGATTAATCACTTTCTACTATCAAAGCAAGCACAAGTTGTAGAGCCTTATTTCGCATTTAGTCTTTGTCACCCATCGTGTTCCGAAATCTTTATATTAAGTCAATACTTAGTAGGTTGTATTATTTCTGTTATACTAAATTAGTAGTAAATCGGCTATGGATAAAATGGAAGTAGTTGGAAAAGAATGAGACGAAAGCTCTTTCCCAAGAAATATCATTTGTCATAGACAGCTGAAAAATATTAGCGCTTTTGATCATAAGCAATCGATTACATAATTTTCAGTGACGTCATACGCATACTAGATAGACATCTATCGTATATATTGACTTTTGCTGATATTTTTATTAGTATAACTATGTATATAATTTTTGTGCTTTCAAGCGTGGTTTTAAACTGAAGTAAAAGAACAATTGTTTCAATACTTGTCACAAATTTCAGCAGATCCTATCAGTTGTACGGAATTTTTCTATCAGTTAAAGGGAATCCTTGCGTTTAACCATGCGATATTTAGGCTTATTTTTACATTCGATTTCAGATTATTGACTGCTATGTAGCAGGGAACGCCATTTCAGTAGCCCATGTTATCGGTTTTATTCTGTTCTTACTACTACATTATCGTGAAGCTGGGGCTTTCTGGGGCCAGTTGGCAAATGATCCTAATGTATTTAAACAAGGTTGCTTGCATCCTGATGTTAATCTTTCCACGAAGCAGTCAGTAATGCTCAAAAAGAGAAAATCTTTTCAACGCAACTTGAGGATTTTAGGAGTTTTCCGTCGTTCACCTCGTTTTAAAACCGATCAAACATTAGTACAAACTGAAGAAAGGGTAATAACCTCTGCTGCTGCACTATTTTCGGAAATTTTTTACGTACGTTTCAAAACCTTTGTTTATTTAATGCTTATATGTAATACAAATTACCAGATTTCGATAGTCAGTTTTATAATTTTACTATATTATAGCCGAGAATTAAGGTAAGTCTCAGGTCGTAGTACATAGGTCTAACTGCGTTTCTCATAAATGAAGACTTTAGAACTAAATAAAAAGTATGATTGGTGTCGAATCCCGTTAAACACTGAATATAATGTGTATGTTTTGTTATAAGTTTTGAGCTAAGTGACTAATGCTTAACACCAAATGACTTCTGATTTCAGTAATCTCCGAGAAAATTCTATACACCCCTTTGTATACATTGTACATTCAACGACTTTGAAGGTATGACATACCTTCTTCTGACCTAATTCCAATCCAACCAGTAAACCATACAATTAGGAGTAATGCATTATACATCTTACAACTGTCTTGATGAACAAAAGTATGTTTGTGTTAAGTAATATTGCGTTCATATTATAAGTTCTGCGCAGGTATGCTGATTCTATCACAAATGAATAGCTTTAAAACTAATTTACAGAAACCTTTATTCCTAAGCCGTGTGATTCTAGAGTTACTGCTAGATTGTATATCTGCAGAACCTAGATTACTGTTCTGTGTACTCTGAATCTAACAACTGCATAGGTTTCTCGAAAATACTCTAAGTGGTGTAAGTTTGCAAATTTTAGCTGGTAGTTCTTCATCGATTCCGGGACTAATCTCTTTTTCTATCTGAAATCAATCAGTGATCAAACTCAAAACAAATATAATCCCTACTAAATAACTCCTGAAAATTATGTGTAGGACCCAATTCTACTCTTTATGCAACCAAAGCGTTCCACGTACTGACCTGATTCATATCTGATTTCCAAACATGGTGTCGGTGAAAATCTTTTCCAAGGCATCATTTTCGCCTGTCAGATATACTTTCTAATTGCCCAGAATTAAAATCAGACTATTCATAAATCTCTATCTTGTCGTAAGAGGATCAGTCATTATCTGAACAGCCCAATGAGTAATGTAAATTCGAATTTCTCAGGAAAAATTAGTTTCTCACAGTAGTAGGCATGTCTTGCGTATGACTGTAATGTACAAAACTTAAGTTCAGGTCTTCCACTCGAATAATTTCTATCAGCCAGCATGACATTTTAGGGTCTCTGAACAGTTAATTCAGATACTGTATCTCACCGTCATCGCAACAGACTTTAGCATTTTTCATTAAATGGAGAGATTAAAGATCAATGACTCTATGTCTGTCTGATGAAATTCAACATAATTTCATTCAAAGTGAAATATAATTTCAAAAAGTCGTAGTTACAAGTTTCTGAAATCCCCCAAAACATGGAAGAAATGTTTAAAATAAGATTTACACAAACTCAATGAGTTTCGTGCACAACTTATTCGGCAGCCAATAATTGGAAAAGTATTTCGAAAAGTCTAAATCACTATTGCTAAAAATAAAAAAAAGTTTTTGAAGTTACTAATGAGGACTTGTTGGTCATTAGTTCGGTTACTGGCTAATCTGATTCTCCTTGCACGTCCAACGCGAATGTTTCTCAAAGTTCCCCACTCCTTACTATTTAGGCAGATCATGATGCCGATGGTACGCATGTGTACTGGATCTTACAGCACCTGAGTGTATTTTAAGATGAAACTTTTAGTAAATAGGTTGAGATAGATTAATTAATCCAGTTGAGTTAATCGACTAAATATTAGTTAGTTTAGTTCTGTTTGTTGGGTCAGTAACAAGGTCTCAAAGGATGGGGAACCTACCGTCATTCTTCTTGACAATGAAAAAGCAAATATTTTATTGTAAAGCTGATTACCATTTTAAGAAATAACGAGAGACATGTTTGTGCATTGTAGTGTCCTTCCATCCTCGTTTCTTTTTTGTGGACTGTTTTGGAGCGTGGTCGGTTTAACTATTGTGCACTTATGCGAATTTCGACATTTATTCCTGTCGGAACCAATTTCTTTTTAACAACATGCACTTTGTGTGTGCGAGAAGTTGGTGTATCAGTTAAAATCACTCGTGTCGAAAAATTGGCTTTCATCGTGAGAAAAGAGACCCTCAGGTCCATGCTTAAATGGTGTATTATTATTCATCTGTCCATCTTGTATTGGGATACTAGACAATTGTCATACTTATTGCACTTCAATAATTTTGTTTCTTGAGATTTAAGCTACTTTGAATGGTTTGCACATAACTGCATTAGGGAAGTGTCGTTTGAAAAAGCTATCGCAGGTAACTTTATCATCATATTGAAACATCTATTCCTAGTGGACATTTGCTACTTTGTAGTGAGTGGACTGGGATATCACCTTAATTGAACCAAATATAATGTTTGCAGGAATATATATATTTTTTGAAGACCTTATAAATACAGGTAGGTAGATAAAATAATGGAAATAGTTATTGGCTTAGTACGAACTGCTTTCACCAAGGTGATAATCTAAAGGCAGAGTCGTCATAATGGTGGAAAGGGGTGTGATAGCAGTAAGGCGTTTATAACCATCGACTCACACAACTTGATATGATTATGAGCAATAGTTTGTGCTCGAAACGTCATCAGTTAATATTACTGTATAACACTGTGTGATTTATCAAAATTAAGTCTTATCTATAGTGGACTTTGTGAAGTTTCTTATCCACTTATGGAGCACGCGGTGAAATAAGCTATTTAAGTTACCGGTTTTTCCTTCCATCCCTGTTTCTTCCTTATAGGTACTGCAGTATGGTTGTGCACTACTGTTTTGTAAATATCAGGTTCATTCGACGTAATATGCTCGACAGACTTTGCGGTTTCTATGGTTTAAGTAAAATATCTCAGCATATAATGTAGATATTTTGATGTAATTGTTTCCACATTATGTGTGTGTTACACGAATATCAGTTGAGAACGGATGATTGACTTCCTCATAAAAAGGATGCTTGAATTCCTACCTTGCTGAACATGTCCGAATCTCTTGATGCCAGTTGAAGAGAAATTAAGTGCAACTCAACAGTTGTATACACAAATGCTTATGTGCTAAGTTACAGGGTTACCTCTTCTACGCTGGAATGTATTTAGTCATTGAGATATCCTTAGTCTACAACGAATACTATAAAAAAAACTTGTAATATACAAGCGTTTTCTGTAGTGTAATTTCACTCCTTTTAATAGTTTCTTGCCTCATCCAAGCACCTCAACATTGTTTACTATCTTTTTTCTCTCATATTCTAGTATACATTTTACTATAAGATTTGACACATCTCAACTCAAGTGAGTGATGTGTGTGTGTGTAATCACATTTTTATGCGTCAAATTAAATGCATATCGTTTGACTTAGATTCTATTCACTCATGTGTGAAGTAAACAACAGTAAAATATATCCACGCATGTTTATTCATGTCTATCCAAGCTTTGAGATTACCTTGACGCGATTGTGAATGAGTACTAAACTTTAACAAAACCAGTTTTTAGTATGAGTACAGTGCCAAATATATAAATATGAGAGAGAGAAGGACAGAGTGGAAGTGGATCATAATAATAATAATAATAATAAAGCAGTAATTAGTCAACTAAGAATAAATTAGATTCAATTTCTAATCAAAAGTTAACAATCTATATTGGTCAGTCATTGAACGACTAATTCACGTGTTTTTTTTTTCTAATGAAGGTTAACCAATTTGTTTCACAGAAGTGATTACTGTACAATTGTAGTCTTTTCATTTTTTCTATATACTGTTTAGAGTTTTGTGTTGAAAAAAAAGGCTGTCTATGGATGCCTGGCTAGCTGACCATTTGTTTGCGAATGGCGAATTATGTACTTCTCAGCATATTCTTACTTAAATAACTTATTGATATTAAAAAGTGATTGTAAGGCTTACTGTGTGTAGGCAGTATATATATATATATATATATATATATATATAACATGACTAATGAACTGTTAACAGATAGCAATTATTCAGTCGACATTCGCAAGTAGTATTGTTTGACTAATGGTATACACAATTAATTTTTGCTTCATATAACATTCTCTTCGAGGAATAATATGCTTCATTCAATGAAACTGGTGCTATGCGATTGTGGTGCTTTCCAAATTCGATGCATTCATCATTTGTCTCTCCTGCATAAAGCTTACTTCTTTTTGAATTATAATTGTAGTATTAATTTAAAGATTAAGGTTATAGATGATGTCTATTTATCTATCTTCTATGCACAGTGATTTCAGACCGTTGTATCCACGTTTCTGTGGTGATAATAACACTGGTGTAAAAACACGGAATGACCTGCATTTTTCAAAAATCATCTGTTGTTTGATAATCTCTGTGTGTGTCACTTTTAGAAGATATTCGTGTATTGTTTTGTGACAATATGATATCGATTAGACGAGGTACATGAGATAAGAACATCAAATGTTACACGTTAGTTGACCACCAGAAGGTCATATATATATATATATATATATATCAGTTTTAAATCAATCTCATGTCCTAAAATAACCCCCTAATCCATTCAGCAGGATCATTTTTCGATATTAGATAGTTGGAGGCAATCGGCAGGAAGCCTTGGACCTAGGTGGTTTCGTGCTAGTTGGCACTTATCAGCAAGGTGTATCTGCAACCTTGAAGGAACTCATGTACTTTCTGAGATTCGAACCCGCGTCACCCAGTGATGGCGAGCTACCTAGAATGGTGGCCACATTGCAAATACCTGACTGATAGAATTCAGTCTGCACCAAAGAAGGACTAGATACGTCACACTAGTTACCAGTGTCCAATCAAAGTATCATTTTTCTTCAAAGGGAATTTCTCAACATTTGGAATATTAGATTAACAATATACTGTATCATAATTCCAAGCAGAAATAACCGAATGAACACTTTAATAAGCGTAGCGAGAGTATAAGTAGACTTGCTAATGAAGGTAGTTTTGTGTATGCGCATTATAGCTCTCAAATGTTAACAGTCGTAACTTTAGTCCAATTTTCTGTTTATTTGACACACGAATATTTGGAATTAAGGATTTTCTTGAAGATGTTTCCTGTAAAACGACTAATATTCAATTCTATATGTTTGTTTGTTTGGTCTGGTTCGCTTTGGGGTGGACAGTGGTCATTTTGCAGTTATTTATGTAACCATGTTCCTACCTAGTTGTTTCATCTTGTCTTTCTACTCTTGATTAATTTTTTTTGGTATTTTTCAAATATTTTTCCAAAATCTGCGTCGTGTATGGATGATTTAATTATTATTTTTTCAACTGGTTGTTCAGACGATAAACTGGCAAACTTCAGAACAACAATTTCGACTATATTTGTAGAGGGAATTAAGCATTAACAGCTTTCGAAGCGACCGATACGTTATCAACGTGGTAACCGTTTCCCTTTGGAGTGGTTTTTGTCTCCACAATACCGCTTTTTTATTCATTATTATTATTGCTTCGTGTTGCAAAATATTCACTTCACATAATTGATTTTCATTTGTGATATCTAATTACTCCTTTCCATTCAGGATGTAGATTTAGTTGCAAGCGATATAGTTGCGGGTCTCATCCTGCTACGTTGGCAGACCAAACAATGGGTTGGGTGTGGTCATCGTGTCCCTTTGAGCCTCATACACCAGGATACTTCTCCTTCAGATCTGAACATTCATGCTGTGCAAAAAGATGACCAAGTAAGCTGTGTTTGTGAGGTTAATTTTGTAACAATAGCTTGTATCACCTTACATTATGCACTATTTTAATGAAGGGCCTAGGTATAATAGATACGCCTTGTAGCTCTGATGGATGATTTTGGTGTAGTATACGCTGAAGAAATTATCTAGTAAGAAAAAGAAAGCTTCACAACTAGACCACTCAGTGTACGAGTACACCAATGAAGGGTCTACCCCCCTCCCCCCAACTTATATCCTATCGGACAGTGATATCAGGGAAAAAGAAGGCAAGAGGGAATTTCCCATGTGTTTATAGCAGGCTATTCAAAGACGCATTATTCCAAGACAGTTAGCTTTTATACTGTTTTCAATTAATAAATCGTGTTCATGTCTCTCTACTGAAAAAATATTAAAATGTATTCTTTACTCTGGTATTGTTTTATTCACTTGAACAAATTTCGCAGTCGTAGTTTCAAAAGAAGGTCAAGTTCCTTCTTTCCTGGCGTGTTCAGTGGGAAGCTTGTCACTGTACGATGCTTTTTTCAAATGCTTGCTGTATAACCATTTACTATTATAGCCTTATTGTTACCGTCAAAAGGAAACACACTTTGCATCATAAGACATGCCATGTTTGTAGAAAATACTAGTGATATCTTAATTCACTTCTGTAAATGCCTTTTACACGATATTTCAAAACAAGACATGTGATTGATCACTTTCATTCAGTGTGTTTTTTTGGATGGAAAATATGTTACAGTAAGAGATAGAGATAGCGTAAAAAGTTCCATTTGAATCCAGTTGAATCTGATCAAATTACTCAGTATGACATGAAGACAATTGAACTGGTTGCTATTGGATAACTTGTTTATATGTGTATAACACAATCAATCATGCAATCACAGGCATAAATTTTAATTGAGTCTAAGGATAGAGATGGTAATATTTTTAAATGAATCATTAGTTTAATCAGGTTCACGCTGCACTAAAAAACAATGCACAGAATCATTTCTGTGTTATAGACAACATTGACTTTCACATAAAATAGCAATGTGAGAAAGTGCATACTCCAAATAAAATATTACTTGAATTATACTATTAGCTAAATACTGCCATGTTTAAGCATTGTTAGTTCGTCTCACATCCGAGTGCCATAAAACAGGATAACTGTGTCAACATGGGGTATTACTTTTGTGTCACTGAGTGACCAATACTAGGTGCGCTGAAGTTGTTCTCATCACAGATTGACGGAAATTGAAAGAACGTTTGTATGCAGAGAAAATTCGACTACCTACCTATTGTTGTCTGCTTGAGGATTTGGCAACGGTTCATTCTACTCACCCTAGAAACACTAACTAACCCCTACATCGCATGTATTGCTTGCAATACAAAAGGCGGTGTTATGCCGAATGACGATAAGCTATATATATATATATATATATATATATATATATATATATATATATATATATATAAGATGCACTTGGCAGCAAGTCAAATGAATAAAAGATTGTGGGTAAACGAATATTCGATTGGTAAGTTGGTGTATAAGAGCAGTTTATGATGTGCCTTTGATAAGGTGACACCTCATGATTTTCCATGTAATAATTCTTTCTCCTATGCATTTCTGTTAATCATAGTTCCGTTCCGTTCCGTTTTGTTTTTCCCTCCACTATTATCCGCTATATATGGAGTGTGGCAACTTGAACTGCTTCACTTTCGTGCAAAGTTCCATGTTGAAAAGTCAGCCAGCCAGTCAGTCAGTCAAAAGCTACCTTCATATGGGTTTGTTTCTTACAGTTAACTCTATCTAAGAAGTAGCTTTGCTTGCTGCAATGATCATCTGATAAATAAGTGTTTTTCTAGTAACAATCAGTAATTTTATTTAGAATATATTCTAACAATCTTTCAGTTTGTATCATAAACTTTTCTTTTACTGTTCAGTCATTTGGTCGCATGTCTTAGCCTCATTGAATTTACCAACATCTTTGGACTACCGGTTAGTATTAAAGTGGGAGTGTGGTTTTGGACACGCTAGTAGAGTTTAACTCCGTGTGCTGTTGTTTGTCGCTTAAATATAGCACACACGCACACACTGAGACATGCTATTCACAACTTTTTTGATCATAGTTACATCAAGTCATCAAGTACATCTTTGATGCCTGGTTTAATATACACTCTTATTTATAATATGCTTAACGTGCGCTTGTTCTTCATGTTAACCCAGCACTATGCGACTGCAGTGAATATGTGCCATCACACTTTTAACAGTAATCATTGCGTGATTTTATGCATCTGATACGTGACAGTCTCACGTCTGCTTCATTCCAGCTTTTCTGGTATTTATATTACTACTGAATATGATTATGTACTGTTTTCATGATTTGTATGCATAGATATAGCTGAACTCAAAGTAGCATTACACAGTTCACAGCTTTCTTTTTCTAATTGCATTCTATCAGTCAAAGAGTATCCTCGCTATTAGAAACGTGCTACTTTTCAAGTTGTCTTAAATTGTTGTTGGATGACCAAAATAGTTGATAGATAAACAGTTGATGATCCTAAACAAAGTTTAATATATGTGTAAAACTTGGGCACTGTGGTAGTAAGTAATTCCATATTAGTTTGTTTATTAGGTATATCACACAGTGTGTGTGATATACCTAATAAACAAACTAATATGGAATAAACAAAGTTTAATCTATACATCTGATCATATAATCGGAGCACTTCGTAGATTACTTCTTAAAGTACCGTACCTCCTTGTTCTCCAGTTGTGATGATCCGTTCAACAGATTGTAATAAAGTAGATAGTGGTATTGTTACTCTGGTGGTTTATATTAGCCTTAAAAAAACATTTTACACGAAATGCAAAATAGATACAGTATGTGCCTTTTGTAACCAGGTGAGCTTTGTGTACTTGTGGAAGTTTGTTACTTTGTTTGTTTGTTTGTTACTTCCTGGTTGCCCATACCGTGGGTGTTGGCTTTTCCTTGGGGTATCTGAAACACAAAGAGCATTAGTATTGTGCCATCACATTGCTCAGGGGAAAACTGCCTGAAACCCGTCACACGTGGTCTGTTCGTACTGGCTTTTGGAGTTGTTTCCGTATTAAGATCTTAGTGCGGGCTACGGACCGCTTCGGGGTGAGTCACGATGTACAATTTTCGAGGAAGTAGGACAGCCGGCGCGCTGGTCATCCGTGGGGAACAACTTACTGTTGTTGCATCACTGTTCGCCAACAGTACAACTTCGCCCACAGACCCCCAACATGGTTTAAACGACTTACATTATGATGGTAATTGATTTTAGTCTAACTACTTTTCAAAATTAACTTTCTGGCTTAGTGGGACCTGCAGAAGAACATTAGTTCCAACCAGTGTAGCTTGTTGGGTGTCATTGAGATATGCGAACCACGTCAAGCGTAACAGCTGTTGATCTCTCGGTTAAATTGATTTATATGATTCGCCTGTTCAGGAGCTTAAGTAATCATCTCTTTTGTATATCAAATCTTGTTGAGTTTACAGTGCTAAGTTAAGATGTTATGTACACGGTTGTGTGTTATCACGAGAGCTTGCTTGTAAATGACTTTTTTTCACTCTGAAAGAAATTCCTAGGAACTTTTAGTCACGCGTAGTTGTAATCTTGCATTCATTTGATTTACCTATGTATTAACAATCTATTTTGTCAAAAAAACGAAGAGAACTATATGTAGTTGTTTCTTCAGCGCTGTTTCTGAATTTCTCAAGCTTCGAAAGCATCATTATACTTCTTCTCACATATTTTTGTCTATGTTATATTTTCGTAGACTCCGGATATGTGGTTGGATATCCACAGAATTTACCGAGTAGCAGAATTTGTAACCGCTATCTACGGGAAGTTGTTATACTACAGTATGAATCTTGGCATTCCTGGTTCCACTTGTCGGTTGTATCGTCACCTTCCTTGTTGCATGTAAGCAGATATCTATTAGAATTATTATACCACCACCTTACACAGTTCGGTATGTGTGTGTGTGTGTTATCTTTCAATTTAACATAATATCAGGATAGGCGAATGATGTTTACTTGTTAATTTAACGTTGTATTTAGCCAGCATATCTTTTTTCGGGTCATTTCAATAGGCAAACGTGACTATCATCTGAAGTTTTAGCAGCTATCTATTTATTGAGCCTGTCAGTGAGACCTAGGCCAACTGTCTTTTCCTTTGGCTTATTTTTGTAATCAATATGCTAAGAAAATCGATATACGACTATGAAGCAAAGCGAAAAGTTTTTTTGAAAAAAAAACATATTTTTTAAAACAAAAATTGGTCAAAAGTATTTCGGTAGCTGGCAAACCCGATCAATTATCATTTTTTTTACTAACTTGGGCGTTGCATATACATATATATATATATATATATATATATATATATATATATATTGGCGTCAATCCTATACATTTGAAAACTTGAATGTGTTCATTATCTAAATCACTACCCTACTATCCAATATTTCATGTTTGCTATTTATCCAGCCGCTAGCATAAAATGTCATCTAGTTAAGACTTACTGTACATATCTCGAGTGTGTACTGTGATTAGGAAAGAAGCACTAAGAAGTATACACTGCTGATTGCAGATAGCAAAGAGGTAGTAGAGATCCCAGTTACAAATCAAGTTACTCAACGTTCAAACGAAGTACATTTATACAATTTGATGAACAGCCGATAATTTACCCATAATCTGTGTATATCTGTTAGTGGTTAATTTTGTCTCATTGAAGATGATGATGATGATGATATTGAAAGAAAAGAAAATAATTCGACCGTGTGAATGAGTTGATCAGTTCAATTTAATAAACCAGATTAGAATGAATATAAGAGAAGACGTTCTGTATTTTGTGGATCTGCACTCCGCTCTCCTAACGATTACTTTGTATCTTAACAATTATCTATCATGGCTGGAGAAAGTTAGATAAACTAATGCAAATGAAGTTGAATGAAGAACAGCACATTGCATTTACGTTTTATTGTGTTTGCAGAAGATGGCTTTTTGGTATGGGGATAATTTTAATGTTTTTCCATGCAAGAGGTAGAACGTTACTGGAAAAGGAAGCATTAAAAATATTAGCAAGAGGGTAACATAAAATATCAGCACAGTTCCTGAGGACCAAGGTTTCGGGAAGGCTTAAGAGACCAGAGACATTTAAGCACATCAAGGGTATTAAAACCATTAAAATTATTGTCTATATGATTTGTAACATTAGGAAGGATATCGACACAAGAGTGTATGAAAGACTTATATAATGTATCAACATTAAGGGATGGGACAGAAGTACATCGCTTACCGCTAGTAATTTCTTTGAAAAGTTTCCACAAACTAGAAGGGGTTTTACATGACAAGAATCTTTGGTTATATAAAACATTAAGTCTTTGCATTTCGAGTTTTATCAGAGTATTTAACCTTTTTTCACCTGACTTATCACTTGTTTTGAACGACATTTCTTTGCCTCTACGGAGCTTTTTGAGATATGGAGAAGAGAAACGGTCAAATCGAATGAATAATGTTTCTATAGGACAACATATTTCGAAACAGAATTTAAGATAATCAGTAGTGTTTGTGATTGTGTTATCTGATGTTTGTTCTGTAAATAAGTCCCAGTTAGTGTCTTTCAACATGCATCTGAGCTTGCGTAAGTTGTCTTGTGAGTAGCATCTCCGTTGAAATTGACTGTAGAGGTGAGAGAAGACATCTTTGTGTGATTTGGAATACATTTTTGGCAATACACGTATGATGCAGTGGTCGGAGTTAAGTAAAGGAGCACGTTTGCGAGCTTCATATATACCAACATCATTAATGAATACTAAATCCAGTTTTTTACCAAGACGAGTAGCAAAGTTAACAATATTGTCATGACCGAGTGATATACGGAAGGAGCAGTCACAGGAATTAAAGTCATCACTCACTATTGATAAAGAGTAACCAGTATTGTGATAGATTTCGGACGACAAAGGGACTGAAAATCCAGAATTTCGCTAGGCAGGGACCAGCAGTTGGTACTAATGATAACCGGAACAGTGGTGTGATGTATGGGTGTACATTTAAAAGCCAGCCACCACGGTGCTTTTTCTTGGGTTTTTTGGAAATATGGAAGTTTTTGGGTTTTAAACATTTTATATAATCCTGAGAGTGAATGATACGATTAGAATGCATAATTTGATATGTAAACACCAATAAAATATGAGTAAATAAATGCAAAATGTGCATGGAATATGGTGGCCCAAAATGTTGAAGCAGGCCGCCAAGGAAGATATATGGTAACAATCCTGCTAATATAAGCGCGTGGAGTGATAACCAGTTTAAAAATGACTGAATTATTCAACTTCAAAATTGTTTTTATCTTTTCTACTAACAATTGATTTAATTTTACAAGGAGGAATATTATTACGTCTATAATGACAACGAGAATAGCGACAATAAAGTGGTAATAAAGGAAATAGTAGTACTAGGAATAGTAATTATATCATGAGCTCACGCTGGAAAACCAGCTGGGAGTACTGAACAACTGTCTCGTCCTAGTTCGGGACTCTTCATAGGTACGCACCCACCGGGGTTCAAATTCAGGACCTTCTAGTCACAAGGTTAGCTTGTAGACCACTAAGCCACTGGGACGCGATACAATGGCCCATGAATTCTAACTTCTGCCAACTGATGTCGGCTCATGATGAAATCCTCCAAACAATCAAACAAAAGAATCCCTACGTAACCAACACTTGAAAATAGTAATTATAGTTTATTTTCACTTTAGCCAAGGTTTATACTCCACGATTTATGGTTTATATATATATATATATATATATATATATATATATATATATATATACAATATCATTATAAATACAGAGATTAGTTTTTCGAGTTTCATTAATTTGCACACCTGTAAAGGTTATAAATAAAATAATTTTTAAAAAAACCAACATCAGCTCATATTCCAAGTTATAAAGCATATTGGATAAGCATGATATGATGTACACTGGATTAAGAGATAAGTAGATAAATAGGCTTCCTGTATATCTTCACCTGATTTATCACTTAGCCTTCATCTGTGTAGAAATTGCTTAAAAAGCTTCTTACCTATTCGGAGTTTGTCGTATGCGAAAGTATAATTTTCCCCTAAATCTAGTTTATTTATAGATCAAAAATGACATTTCAAAAAAAAACATTTGACATACTATACCCCGGAAACATTTGTACTTCATCTTTTAGCCTATCAGAAAACTGAGACTCATTTTTACTCCATATAGTGCTTTTATGATTTTTCTTTATCCTTCCAAATTATTTGTAAATTTCATTCGATTATTTTTCTTCTTCAATGTGAGGGTCGATTGAAACATTTTTTTTATTCCTTTAGGTTCCTAGTGGAACATAGGGCTTCAAGGTATAGCTTGGAAATTTCAGGAGAAGTGGAATTTAATTTTTACGGGATGGGGTTGCTAGCCTTATGCCCAACCTTCCCTCTTTACCAGTCTTATTACTAGCTTAGTGAGGTAGAGGAGTGCGTCGGCCGGAAATCGAACCCCTGACCATTTCTACATGGTTGGCGAGCATTCTACCGCTGTGTCACCAATGCACGATTGAAACTTTAGGGGTCAGTTAAACAAATATCTTGGATATTAAAGTGAAATTGAACATTTTAATATAAGATATCAGGGGAGTAAATTAATTATGTATTTTGCACTGCTATTTATCAATCGATTATCCAATGTAAGTGACTGACATTCGTGATGTTTTTTTAAAGTAATTGTGTGAAGTGACGAAAATTATGTCAATTAACTGACAGACTATTTTTGATTAGTCAAAGTTGCCTTTGGCTAGTGGAATTTTGCTTCACTGACTTGTTGGAACAGTGGAGTAGAACAGGGGGAAAGTGTAAATAAAAGTGGTGATCTGTTTAACTGAAATGTTTCATATCTCTCTGTCTACACTGTTATTCCTTTTGTTTGGATACCTAGCGCTATATTCATCACGAATGTTGCACTAATATGTGTAGTGTGATGGAAATTTCCCGAAGTTTAACAAAAGAGTGCGGAGCGAGCGTATCAACAATATTACGGAAATCAGCAGAAGTTGTTTATAAATAACTGAGATATGAGAAACTGTTGTGAATTCGGCTCTTTTAGTTCGACATCAGACATATAAGGCATGAAGTTTAGTAAATGACGACGCATCTAGGTAGGAGTGGAAAGAAACCAATATTTAGATTTGATAAAAGATAATGAAAATCAATTAAGGTCAAAAGACGAGTTACTAAGACGCAAAAAGACTTACTACAGCTTCTTTTCGAATAAATAATTCAGGTTTAAACTGTTTGATAGCTATGGTTTCTGCAGACTTCAAGAGACCTTTTTACTTATTATTTTAAAGGAATTCAAGATGTCTGCTAGATGCCCTGTGTCAATCAGATGTCTCATAATTACGCTGTTCAAAGATTTACTTCCTCTTAATCACAAACTCTTCGGTACGTATCTGCTTTGGCAGCTACATAGCTGGAGCTAACAAAAAAAGTGTATCTGTCGAGTTTGAATCGAACTAATGAACACGATCGTTAACCTTAATTGATTTTCATTATCTTTTACCAAATCTAAATGTTGGTTGCTTTCCACTCCTACCTAGATGCGGCGTCATTTAATAAACGGTCGGTCGGTTTTCGACATAGAACTTTGCACATATGTGTGGCAGTTCAAGTCGCCACACTCCATGTAGCACACAAAGGAAGAGAAGAAAGTAGGAGAAATGCATAATATAGACAGTAAACAGCCGTGTGAGACAAAGGAATAGTAATATCGAAGAACAAAACAGTTTCATTGGAAATCATAAGTCACAAGGAGTGGGTGCATCTGCGCCAGACACTGAGAACGATTTTGAGCCATGTCACCAATTGTTTCCAACCATAGCTTTTTACCGTCCCGAGGACCCCAACCAGGAAGTTTACACCTTCCTACGTGGCTTAGACTAACTGTTGTAGATTTCATTGACTGGTGGCATGTTTTCGTTTGACCGCCTCTAGCTCTTTTCCAGCCTGACCCTGACCAGCCCGAGCGATAGCTGCTACCTTGACGTGCTGGTCGGGCTTGCATATCGCAATGACCCAACGAGCTACACTGGCTGGAACTTAAGTTCCTGTAGGTCTTACCATGCCAGAAAGGTTGTTTGGATAGCGGTTAGACAAAAAGCAGCTCTACCCAATCCAATAATATGATTCAAACAAATTCACAAAATATCATGCCGGATCGGTCGGAGCCCGGATTACCAACGACTGCGCTTCCTGCTGCCGTGTCACAGGGCAAACAAGAAAGAACAAACGAAAACAGGCCGCGTGTGACCGGCCTCAAGCAGTTGTCCCCTGGGCTCTGCGGTCACGCAACACTAACCTTTTCTCTATTTCAGGTACCCGAAGACTCAACCAACTTCCACGGTGTGGGCAGCCGGGAAGTAACAACCGCCCACACACTTCCAAAAGCACACAAAGCCTACCTGAGCATCACTCTCCCTTATTCACATCACCTTCCTCATTTATTAAACTTCATGTTTCATATGTCTGATGTCGAACTAAATGAGCTGAACTCACAACAGTTTCTCATACCTCAGTCATTTATAAACAACTTCTGCTGATTTACGTAATCTTGCGATATCTTGTTGACATGCTCTCTCCGCACGCTTTTGTTATCTTCGGGAAACAACTATCATATTGCATATATAGATGCTATAGCGTTTTATATTATACTGACTAAACATTTTGATTCACGGTCACTCTGAATTATTGTTCCACTTATTATTTCCAATATTCTAAATTATGCTTAAATTGCAATAAAACTGATGGCTTTGGTTATTCAACTTGTAAACACTTGGAAAGATACCAACGAAATAAAATGGATACGTTTCATCTTGCTCCATCTCTTGTTATTGCTTTTTTTAATATTCTGTAATTCCTAATCATCTGGGTTTCTGTCCTTTTCATTTACAGTTACAGCGCTCATTTGAAATCCACTGCACTTGGTTACAAATTTTCTCTTTACCTAGCTATTTCATGGACTTTTCATTCAGAAATGCACTTTGCAGTTCAACATTTTTCATCCAGTTCATTTTCTACTGCATTTATTTAACTCTCTCCCCCCTATAAACGACCTGAAATGACCGTAGGGTGGGTGGGTAGACTTCGGTCTTGTAGATGTTCCTCATAGAAGTAAAAAGGCGAACTTGGACGTCTGGTGCCAACAACCGGACTGGTGGATATGTAGGCCTACCTAGGGAGGGAGCTGGGAAACCCTGATTCCAAACCTGCCCCAGGATTCTAAACGATCGAATAGTATATGAGCCTGTTTTGGTCACCTGACGCTGCTCTACTTCCTCATGCATCAGACTTCAAGTCTAAGGCTCGGGGTCAGCCTCTCAAGACAACCACCTGCTTCGGCTTGGGCTTGCAGATAGTATTTCAGCCCTCGTACAAACTGTAAAACAACAATTTCATTTTTGTGGTGCATCTCTCAGTCTGCATAATGTATCAAATTTTTGTAATTATAGTGAATGGTGTCGACTGTAGGTTAATAATAGTCAGCAGTATGCTTTGTGATACTTGAGGCCTAGGGTCATTTGACTAAGTATCAAGCTTATGACGTATATTACTTTATACTGCCTAGTCTAACAGCAAAAATTTTAATTAGCTTCACATCATCTATTTATACATAAATGTTGTCGACTGATTCATCAATTAGTTATGTTGTTAGAATACAGTAACTCAAAAACAAATTTCTCATGCACCAACCCACCAGCCACAGTTATTGTTTGAGGGCTGATGATACTAGCCAGCTGCCTAAGCTGAAGTAGGTGGATCGGGATCCAAACCTAGAACTTATTAACTATAAGTCAAGTGCTTAAGCCAATGAACCATATCTGCATATAAATTATCTAGTCATCCTCTGGAGATTTCCAATTGAAACGATTCACCTGGACTAATTAAACAGCTGTCTTAGTAAGCTGCTTGGGATGTTTGTGAATAATAAAAAAACCTGTTCAAAGTTGCCAAAATATAAAATGTATTTATTGATAAGTAAGTGACTACAAGTTTAGGCAGGAGTAATTTCTTCCGTCAAGTGATCCACAACAGAAAACTCAGCGAGGCGTTTGGAGTAAACACAGGAGTCAGACAAGGGTGCTTATTATCACCAATGATATTCCTAATTGTGGTGGACTGGATTATGCGTCAGACAGTGGGAAACGAGAAGACAGGGATATCCTGGACCGACGTGAAGAACCTAGAAGACCTGGATTTCGCGCGTGGATGATTTATGTCTGATGTCACACAAAATCGAAGACCTACAAGCGAAAACCGACAAACTGGTCGAAGAAGCAGCAAAGACAGGACTCCAGGTGAACATAGACAACACGGAGGTTATGAAAATAACCAACCAACCAACAACAACAACAACAGCAACATCCAGCGCCAATCACCATCAACGGGAGAGATTTGAAACAGGTTACTTCATTCACTTATCTAGGGAGCATTGTCTCAACTACAGGAGGAACGGAAGAGGATGTCAAATCGAGAATCGGGAAGGCGACAAACACATTCATCAACCTGAAACCAATCTGGAAATCTTCGTCACTCAGCATCAACAACGAAATTCGGATTTTCAATACAAACGTCAAGTCAGTCAGTTCTTCTATACGGATGGATCAGAAACTTGGCGGGTCACCAAGAATATTTCCAACAGCCTGTTGCACACCTTTATCAACAACAACTGTCTTCGCTCTATACTTAAGATCAGATGGCCGGAAAGAATCACAAACAAGAAACTATGGGAAAGAACAAAACAAGAACCAATCGCTCAACAAATATGCAGGAGAAAGTGGAGATGGATTAGACACTCACTCGCTGGGGAGGCCGCTGGGTGACATCGCGCGTCAGGCCATAGCTCGAGTGGAACCCGAAAGGGAAGCGGCGAGTGGGACGTCCAAGGGTGACATGGAGGAGATCGTGTGAGGAGGAGATGAAACAGTATGGACTAACATGGATGTAGGTGAAAAGTACAGCAGAAGACAGAAGCAAGTGGAGACGTGCAGTTGAAGCCCTATGTTCCACTAGGAACCCAATAATGATAATAATAATAAATAATTTCTTCCGTTTGCGCATATAATGTAATGATTAGTGAAATTTAGATTTTCACACAAGTGTATCCTGACCCTCCTCACCCCCCACCACCACCACAGCAAATTAAATTCGAGTAGTTATAAAAATAAAATGACTGAGCTTCAATACAGAACTTTGCACAGATATACAGATGTTCAAGTGGCCATACATGCAAATAACTAAAAATTCAAGGAAATGAATTATGGCGAAGCAGGTACACAAGAGTTCATATCATTCCATAGTAAATGCTCCCTCCCATGAGGTTGCAGTATTTTTTGCTAAAGTCTATCAACCCAACTAATCACACTGCAAAACACCACACATAAGGAAAGCGAATGAAAATATTTTGGTACTACGGTGGGTAAGAAGTTTATACCAGCAAAATAATTGATTACAAAGAGTTTTTGACTGATTTCTGGTATTTTATCGTCACCAGAAGTGTACTTTGAGCAAATAAACAGTTGCATGGTTCTTTTCTATAATAGCATTTGACTGAAATTTTAGGATTTTCTAAACGTAAAAGGTTGATTTCAGATGCTAGATCGTGGCACTCGATAGTTTTATATAAATCATACATTTCCCAAAGCAAATTCATTAATTATTATTTTATTTTGGCTTCTGCATATCTTACACTTTTAACCTCCAGTAGAAAAAGCTCCAGAGGTAAAGAAGTTCATGATACAATCGACTGCACCTCTGCTACGTTCTATCTCCCTTGTGAAGTGGTATAACAAGGTGAACAATATTGAGGTTAGGCTTCGGTCGAGTGCTAGGTAAGGAAGCGGAATCAATCGACGAGGCTGTGAAGCTACATTGACTGAGGTGGTTAGGACATGTGTTACGTATGCCTAGCCATCGCCTTCCTCGACGGGCAATGTTAGCCAACATAGGGTCAGGCTGGAAAAGAACTAGTGGTGGTCGAACCAAAACATCGCTTCATCTGTCAATGAAATCCACAACAGTTAGTTTAAGCCACGTAAGGAGGTGTAGACTTCCTGGTTGGGGTCCTCGGGACAGTAAAAGCGAATGGCTGGAAACAATCGGTGATATGGCTCAAAATCGTTCTCAATGGCTGGCGCAGATGCATCCACTCCTTGTGACTTATAATACCCAATGAAACTATATTGTTCTTCGTTATTACTATTCGTTTTGTCTCATATCCCTGTTTACTCTATTTTGCATTTGTTTTTCTTTTCTTTGTTTTGTATGCTACAATGAATGTGGCGACTTGAACTGCTGCACAGTGGTGCAAAGTTCTATGTTGAAAACAGTCAGTCAATCAGTCATCTCTTCTGCTTATATTCAGTTGTTATTCAGTATGTTGAAGCGCTAGCCGACATAATCTTGGTGTAGATAGATTATCATTTACTATGATTTCGTCTATCATTATTCATCAATACATCCTGACTGACTAATATCATTCATTTTGTTTTAAAATGCTAATCAAAAGAAAAATTTTCACACTTTCACTCCATCAAGATTGTTGAATTAATTGTATTTATATTTCTCTGTTTTAATGTTTACCAGCAAAATATCGTTTTCGAATGTATGCAGTCAAAGACTGTTGTTATTGTTGTTTTTGTTAACTTTCCCTTTTCTTTTTCAGAAACTCTTGTAATCGTCCTTCACCAGAACAAAGTCAGCTTAGTTGTTGTATCTGCTCAGGGCATACATGTGATTTAGCAGCAATACTTGAATTCACTTCACTTAGAGAAGATCAGTTCGTTAAGCTTTCATATGACAATTCAGTGAGTTATTAGTAAAATAAATTGCCTTTATATGTGTTTTTTCCGTAGTACAACTTTCTATGGTACACTTTCTCCACATTTAGTATTGATTTCATTTAAGTTGCGAAACTTCGGTGAAAAACATTTTTTTTTAAAGTAGAGAGAAGAAATGTACTGAATAGAAAGTGTGCGAAAACGTATTGAAGTGAAAATAATTCGTGGATGATTGGTGTAGATTTTCAGAATGTGGATGATATTAAAAAGTGAATAATATCCATTTCATGGTGAATGAATGACTTTGCAACATGTTACCGACAGTCTGCAGGCTTTGATTCTCGATATGTCAAGTAATCAGGCTGTCGGTTTTTCATTCCTCTCTGTTACGAGTGGGGGAGGTCGGGCTTTAAGTTTGATTCGTGAAGTTTCAGTAGCATTGGTGTTGATTTTATCGGGTGGAGTTACTATCCTCACGCCAAATCTTCCGTCTTCACCCGGCTTGCTACCGACTAGGCAAGGTTTGGGTGTGCGTCAAGTGGCAATCAAATCCAGACTACACGTGTGAATAGGTAGCATTCGATTATTGAACGACTAACTATTCAATCTGAAAATCTTCGTCACTCAGCATCAACAACGAAATTTGGATTTTCAATACAAACGTCAAGTCAGTTCTTCTATAGGGATCAGAATAAGAACATTTCCAACAGGTTGCAGACCTTTATCAACAGCTGTCTTCGTTCTATACTGAAGATTAGATGGCCGGAAAGAATCACCAACAAGAAACTATGGGAAGAAACAAAACAAGAACCAGTCGGTCAACAAATATGCAGGAGAAAGTGTAGATGGATTGGACACTCGCTGGGAAGGCCTCTGGGTGACATCGCGCGTCAGGCCATAGCTCGAGTGGAACCCGAAAGGGAAGCGGCGAGTGGGACGTCCAAGGGTGACATGGAGGAGATCGTGTGAGGAGGAGTTGAAACAGTATGGATTAACATGGATGCAGGTGAAAAGTACAGCAGAAGACAGAAGCAAGTGGAGACGTGCAGTTGAAGCCCTTTGTTCCACTAGGAACCCAAGGGAACAATAATAATAATAACTCACATCCTCCCCAGGTCATGTACATCTCCATATTTGTCAAAAACCAAAATTCAATGACCTAATGGATTAATACGATATTTTGGTTTTACCGCTCCTAATTTTGTTTTCCAACCTAATCTTATTTCATTTGACATTCCTTGTCAGCGCGCGTTACACATACATACACACACACGCACACACCAGAAGTCTCAGTTGATGGAGCTACACAATCCTATAGATTAACTTTCCTTATCAATCATTCTTAGTTGAACATTTATTATTATTATTGTTCCCTTGGGTTCCTAGTGGAACATAGGGCTTCAACTGCACGTCTCCACTTGCTTCTGTCTTCTGCTGTTCTTTTCACTTGCGTCCATGTTATTCCATACTGTTTCATCTCCTCCTCACACGATCTCCTCCATGTCACCCTTGGACGTCCCACTCGCCGCTTCCCTTTCGGGTTCCACTCGAGCTATGGCCTGACGCGCGATGTCACCCAGCGGCCTCCCCAGCGAGTGAGTGTCTAATCCATCTCCACTTTCTCCTGCATATTTGTTGGGTGATTGGTTCTTGTTTCGTTTGTTCCCATAGCTTCTTGTTTGTGATTCTTTCTGGCCATCTAATCTTCAGTATGGAGCGAAGACAGTTGTTGATAAAGGTCTGCAACCTGTTGAAAATATTCTTGGTGACCCGCCAAGTTTCTGATCCGTAAAGCAAAATTGACTTGACGTTTGTTTTGAAAATCCGAATTTTGTTGTTGATGGTGAGTGACGAAGATTTCCAGATTGGTTTCAGGTTGATGAATGTGTTTGTCGCCTTCCCGATTCTCGATTTGACATCCTCGTCCGTTCCTCCTGTGGTTGAGACAATGCTCCCCAGATAAGTGAAAGAAGTAACCTCTTTCAAATCCCTCTCGTTGATGGTGATTGGCACTGAATGTTGCTGCTGTTGTTGGTTGGTTATTTTCATAACCTCCGTGTTGTCTATGTTCACCTGGAGTCCTGTCTTTGCTGCTTCTTCGACCAGTTTGTCGGTTTTCGCTTGTAGGTCTTCGATTTTGTGTGACATCAAACATAAATCATCCGCGTAATCCAGGTCTTCTAGATTCTACACGTCGGTCCAGGATATCCCTGTCTTCTCGTTTCCCACTGTCTGACGCATAATCCAGTCCACCACAATTAGGAATATCATTGGAGATAATAAGCACCCTTGTCTGACTCCTGTGTTTACTCCAAACGCTTCGCTGAGTTTTCCGTTGTGGATCACTTGACATGTGCCGTTGTCGTACAGTTGTTGAATAAGGTTGATGAATATTTGCGGTACGCCGTAGTACTCGAGTAGTTTCCAAATTACTTCACGGTCAACGCTGTCGAAAGCCTTCTCAAAGTCTATGAAGTTGAGGTAGAGGTTTGATTGCCATTCCATGCTTTGTTCGATGATAATGCGTAGAGTTGCAATTTGGTCAGAACATGATTTGCCTTTCCTGAATCCAGCTTGTTCTGGTCGGAGTTCTGTATCCAGTGCGTCCTTGATTCTCTCCAGGATGATGCGACTCAGGATTTTACTTGGCGTCGACAGGAGCATGATTCCTCGCCAGTTCTTGCAGAGTCCCAGGTCGCCCTTCTTTGGTAGTTTCACCAGGTAACCTTTCCTCCAGTGAGTAGGCACCTTTCCCTCTTTCCAGATCTTTTGCAATAATGGGGTCAGCATATCTGCCGTCGTTTCTGGGTCCGCTTTCAGTGCTTCCGGGGGTATTCCATCTGGTCCAGCTGCTTTTCCAGCTTTCAGAAGCTTGATTGCATTCATGACTTCAGTTTTCGTTGGAGGATTGGTGTCAACTTGCAGTTGTGTACGTGCTGTTGTTGGTATTACTGGACGGGTTGTAGGTGGTGGTCGGTTCAAGAGTCCTTTGAAGTGGTCCGCCCATTGTTTAATCTCTCTTTCTTCTTTGGTAATTGGGTTCCCTTGGTTGTCTTTTATAAGTTTCACTTGTGTTGATCTCTTCCCGGATAGAGACTTGGTTATCTGATATAGTGTCCTCAGGTCCCTTTTGCCTGCTGCCTTCTCAGCTTCAGTAGCCAGGTTGTCGTAGAATTGTCTTTTGTCCTTCCTGGCACTCTTCTTCACTTCTTTGTCCAGTGCTGTGTAAGTTGAGTTCAGCGTCTCTTTCTCTTGTCCATCTTTGCATTGAATCATTTTCTCTTTCACTTTTCTCCTCTCCTCTATTAGTTTACAAGTGTCTGTTGAGAGCCATTCCTTGTCTTGTTTCTTCTTTCTTCCTAAAACCGTTGAGCACGTTTCGTTGAAAATTACCTTCAGAGAGTTCCAATGGTCTTCCACGGATGATTCCTCAGTGGTGCCACGTAGTGTTTCCTGCTTTGCTCTGACAGTTGCAGTGAAAATGTCCTGTGTGATTGTGTCCTTCAGTTTGTGAGTGTTGAACTTGCATTGTGGCCTATCCCCAGGTATCCTCGAGGCTTTCAGCTTCACCTTGAAAGTCCCTTGTACTAGATAGTGGTCTGAACCCACATCTGCTCCTCTCCTCGATCTTGTGTCCAGTAGGCTCCGTCTCCACTTCCTTGAGATTGAAATGAAGTCTATCTGGTTTTTGGTGTGTCCATCTGGTGAAATCCATGTTGCCTTGTGTATATCCCTGTGTTTGAACACACTGCCACCAATCACCAAATCATTGAAGGCGCAGAAGTCTGAGAAGAGTTCACCATTGTCGTTCATTTCACCGAGGGCCTCACGACCCATGGTGAGTTCTCTTCCTGTATTGTCTCCTCCCAGTTTCGCATTCATGTCGCCCATCAGGATTTTGATATCGCTCTTTGGGACGTTGTCCATTACTGTTTGTAGTTGACTGTAGAAATCCTCCTTCTTCTCATGTTCTGAGGCGTTTGTAGGCGCGTAGCACTGAATGATTGTAACCTTCTTTCCTTTTGAGTTGAACCTGGCTGTCATTATCCTGGAGGAGATTGGTTCCCACTGCATGAGAGCTTTAGCCGCCGTTGGTGACATCATGATGGCTACTCCCTCGGTGTGCTCGTGATTGTCCTCTGGGTGACCGGAGTAGATTATTGTCTCTCCAGTTGATAGTTGGCTCCTTCCACATCCGTTCCATCTGCTCTCGCAGATTCCCAACACTTCTATTCTATATCTCCTCATTTCTGCGGCTACCTGAGCAGCCTTCCCAGCTTCGTACATTGTACGAACATTCCACGTCCCCATCCTTATTTTCGCTTTCATCGAAAGAAGGCACATCGGCTGACTGGCTTCCCGAAGGCTTTCACCAGCCCGCGTCATTTCACTTCCCCGATTCCAGCGAAAAATAAGGTCACTATTTGTAATTTTAGAATTTTGAATATATTTGTGCGTTGAAGTTTTCGTAGCAATTTGGTTAAGTTTTGGGGGTGGAGTTGCTAGCACCACGCCCCAACCCTCCCTCTTTATCCGGGCTTGGGACCGGCTAGAATACTAGTGACCTAGTAATCTAGGCGAGGTTAGTTGAACATACATAACACCATTTATCATGTTGCATGTAACATGAGAGATTGAACAGGCAGGTGTGTGTACCCATGGTCTAAAACGGACAACTTTTTCATTTCTTCTGTTCACAGTGATAATGTCCCACAACCATGTCAGACAGTTGCTGAACATTAAACAAGCACTGGACAATTGTTTTGTCCTTTCTTTTTGAAATTTTTCAGCAGTGAACAACCACTGTACTCACTCTCACTCTAATGATCATCATCGCATAGTTCAGTAGCATACTTTCTGCATTTGCATTGTCTTTTGCTTTAAACTCCTTACACTTGTACACAGCTGACTTTTTCCCTATGTGTAAACATGGCTTGAGTAATCATAAGTCATTGTATTAATGAATTATTGTTAGGATTACGATTTCCGGCAGTGTTTTTGTATACACAAATAAATTTAAGGTCTTTGAATGTCAGTTTTATTTACTTAACTTTGGGTATGCACACAAGGACAGCTACTTGAAGTTTACCGAGATAATAGTGTCGATAGTTAGGGTGGATATGTTCATATGACGAACTGCATTTCTCTCAGCCATAATATTCTCTTTCTGAATGGTTCATATATAACTGGATAACATTGTGACGTAGTCAACAAAATTGTTACTTGGTTATAGGATTCCATCATGAGCTGACATTAAATAGAGAAACATTGGAAAACCTGGGAGTACTGGACAGCTGTTTCGTCCTAGCTTAAGACTCTTCATCAGTATGTCCCAGGACCTTCTAGTTACAAGGCGAGCTCGTAAACCATTAAGCCGCTAGGTACCGATACAATGGCCTACGAATTCCAACTTCTGCCGATTCATGATGTTTCGCGACCACTAGTGAATGTCATCGGTAAGTATTTGTCCTTACACCCAACCTGCTGTACTGTTTTTTTCCTTCACGTCCCCCAGTGGAACATAGGGCTTCATGCTCGTGGCTTGAAGTTTCTGTAGCATTGTTAATTTTATAGGATGGGGTTGCTAGCCTCATTCCCAACCTTTCCTTTTCACCAGCATTATTTCTGGCTCAGTGAGGTAAAGGAGTGTGTTGGCCTGGGATCGAACCCCGGACCATGTGCATGGTCGGCGAGCGTCCTAACCGCTATGCCACCGACGCTGTACTGTTACTGTCGATAAATTTTTTTTGTTCCTAATATTTATCCTCTCTTGGTCTGTTTTAACTTTACCACTTTGCAACCGTGTTTAGCAGTTCCAGGTTGTTTGACACTTATCAGTCGACACATTATTAACCTTAAAAAAAGCTGTACAGGTTTTTTAATCCGACTGCATTATTCATTTCTGTAGCTTGAGGTGTCTGTCTTGCTATCTCCCCTCTACTAATGTATCCATATAGTTTTTGGGTTTTCTTTCAGTATTTTTACAGTATATTTATATCAATGTCTTTTTTATCCTGTAAATTGTTTTATCAAAACCAATTTATCATTTACTGATTGCCTTTTCTTTGCCAGGTTCATCAAACCCCTTACTTTGTAGCAATCGATGACTGCAGTCAGTGTATCGTTATTTCTGTACGTGGTACATTGTCCTTTGAAGATACTATTGTTGACTTGTTATACGATGGAGTGCGTTTAGACGAGGTCGAGACATTTATTGAATCGAAAACAGGCACAAGACCATGCTTTATTGGACATCGTGGTATGGTTGAAAGATCAAGATATTTATACAATTGTCTGGTAGCCGATCGTACAATTGATATAGCATTACACAGAAAACCACATTATAAGCTAGTTGTATGCGGTCATAGCCTAGGCGCTGGTATTGCATCTTTCCTATCTGTCTTTCTGCGTTCTACATATCCTGATGTGAAAGGTTACGCCTTCAGTGCACCTCTAGGAATGATGAAGTAAGTATAATCTATTTGAAATTTAATCTAAACTGAATGTTTTACTTCTTTTTTTTTGTTTACTTTATTTATTGACTACCTTTTTTTATACTTCTCTGTTTTCAAAAAACAGAGAAGTTGTATTCACTACGCGTGGTCGTTTTTCAGATCCTAAAGAGCTTTGCTAATGATGTTTGTGCCAGCCATCCATTCGTATCTGTCTATTTGTTATTCCATTTCTGTCCTCCTGCTACTTCGTGTTGTTTTTTGTTTTTTTGTTGTAGCCTATAGCAAGGTGAAGTGAGATATACTTTTGTGCAAAGTTCTGCACTTATCTGTCAGTCATTGAAGTGAAACACTCAAAAATCTCTTTGTGTGCTCTCCTACTAAATTATCAGGTTAAGTTGTCTAATTGATCATACTGTGCATAACTGACAGTCTATTGGAGGCACAGCGTGAAGATTGATTTTTTGTTGTTGAAAAAAATGAGTGTACCTGAACTCTGTATTCTCCTGACCGATCAGCTTTAAACACAAAGTATATACATTATGAATTATTAATGAATATGACTGAAAGCTGTGAATTGATTATCATCAATGCTGATTGACAACTGATAAGCTAGCTGTCACTTTCTACTGCAGTTCATTTGCTGGAAGGGTGAACTGTTAGAAATGCCTTAACACATTTGGAGCATTTTCATGTCTGTCTTAGTGCTGCATCTCGTTGACTTTTCTTTCAAGCAGCAACCCAAGTGTTTGAATTCCACACTACCTACTTTGACCTGAGAAAACTTAACATCTTCAATATGACTCGGAACTTTGTAGTAGTATTAGTAGTTGTTAATTCCTTGGCAAAGTTAAAAATAGAAACCTAAGACTCACGAAAGCACCAGTGACATTGAAACACTGTTAGAACAAGAGAGTGGAACAAGGTAAATAACACTATATTAATAAAAAAGGTGTTGACAGAAGTGTAAGAATGTTTAGTTAAGTGTGAGTTCGGGATCTAAATTAACTTTGTGACGCAGTTAGCTAGTTTCGAGGCTATTTGTGCGTTCGCATCTGTCGAGTGTCTATTCTGTGACTTTGGCAATTTCTGGCGTCAACATCATGAATGTACACTTTCAGGGAAAATATTGTTGACTGTATTTCGACCCCGTTACTCATTTGCTAAGAGTTTAGTACCCTCTCCAACTGGTCACAACTTCGTCTCTCTCTGTTCAAAATTTATTCCCACAGTTGACAGTTGGTTGAAAGAAATCACTTGCCTTCAGAAATTTTGTTTGTGATTTGTGTTCAATTGATGACTAGTTATTTTTTCTGAGATGTCAGTAGTAAGACAGCTTTTATTTTTGTCCTTAAACTTGTGAAAAAGGTATGCTGTTCAGTGAAAAAAAAACACACTGTAAACGTGTTTTATCATGCTAAACGAAGCGCCAGTAAATTTGTCATGAGAATATAATTTCTCAGAAAACAATAATTAATAACACAATATTCTAAGGGAGGGCTTTATTATTTTTTGTGTCAATATGGTTGTCATGACACTGTCCTTTTAATCTATGCCATAGGTGACTTTCACCTCTCAACTATAACAGTTTATGCTGTTTATTTGAGTTAGGATGGTTATAGACAAGACTGGAGACATAATTTTAAAACTTTGGGCATTGTGGTAGATGACAATGAAATAATGGTGTCCTTTGATGTCACAGCATTATATACTTCAGTTAGTCCAAAACCAGCAACAGAAACTATGCAGCAATTACTCTATTGTGATGAAAACATAAGAACGCAATGTTCAATTGGGATAGAACTCATATAATTATGCCTTACAATATACTTCCGACTCAATACTAAAATATACGAACAGATAAAAGGAACACCAATAGGATCGCGCATATCAAGATTAACAGCTGAAGCTATCATGCAAAGATTAGAATTAATAGCTCTACCTATAATTAAACCGAAAATCTGGGTACTTTACGTTGATGATACATTTGTAATAATCAAAAGAAATGATTTAGAATATACCCATAAATTAATAAACAACATATTTGAAGACATCAAATTCACAAGAGAAGAAGAATTAGATAACAAAATCCCATTCTTAGATGTCTTAATCAGAAGAACTAACACCGGAAATTTAGAAACACAAGTATATAGAAAATCAACGCACACAGATCAAATACTCAACTATGCTAGCAATAATCCAATTACTCACAAAAGAAACTGTGTGCAGAGATTGTTTAAAAGAGTTCAAACACATTGTGGCACTCCAGCGTTGAAAAGAATGGAAGAAAAATACGTACAAACGGTCTTCAAAAAGAATGGTTATCCAGAAAATTTCATCAAAAAGTGTTTAAAGTCGAATCAAAACACCAACAAGAAACCATCATCAAAGACCACAAGAAAATTCATCCTACCATACATGAAAAATCTCTGAAATAACAGCTAGAATACTGAAACCGTTTGATATAGATATAGCACACAAGCCAGTCAAATCGCTTAATTCGATATTATGCAAACCAAAAGATCCAACAGAAAAAGGGGACAAAATTAATACCATTTACAAAATAAATTGTATGAACTGTGACAAGCATTACATCGGCCAAAGTGGGCGTCCCCTTCGAATAGAATCCAAGAACACAAATCAGCTGTGAAAAGACATGATATATATTCTTTCATATCAATGCATATAGATAATTATGGACATCAGTTCGGTTGAGATAATGTCGAAATTTTGGACTGAGAAAACACCAAAAGAGCCAGGGAATTCCTAGAAGCCTGGTACTCAAACGAATATGCAATTAACAAACATGTTAATATAGACCAGATATACCAACTAATAAAAAGTAGACCATGTGACCAGAAAGTTTAAAATCCAAGTGAATAGAAAATGATCAATATATATGTAAAGATGGTTACCGGGAGACGCAATTCTATCACTCATGGAAAATCAGTTCAGTTTATACTAAAAATTGCGCTGAAGATGTTGTCCAGAAGGACGATGAAAGCTCCGCGACTAAACCAACCAGCTACAGAGAACACTACTAATTGCAAGAGTATAACTCTATTATAGATAAGATTTTATTTTGATAAATCACACAGTGGTATACTGTAATATTAACTGATAACGTATCGAGCACAATTTATTACTGTTCATAATCATATCAGGTCAGTCGCACAACTTTTTACTTCATTTATATACATGAGTGGAATTGATTAGATGTTTGAATAAAAATCACGTACATCATAACTATTCTAACAAGTTACTTATTTGACTATAAAAACAATCGTTTTATTTCCCATCTGATTGTAATTGATCAATAACACTCGAATCCCAGTGGGTGCGTACTGCCGATGATTTCTAAACTAGGATGAAATAGCTGTCCAGTACTCGCTGGTTTTCAATGGTTCTCTAACTGACATCAATCCGGGATCAACTCGTGAAAACATAACTAACCCTTACAAACCAAACTATGGAAAAATAAATGCTTTTGTCAAAACTTTACTTTATTGATATACTTGAGTGTTAACTGTGACAAGTAGTTAAGGAATATAACGCCTTTCTTATACTAGTATATTATTTAACAGTTTTCCAAAGAAAAACGCAGATTGAATATGTAACCGCATACGACTGCATTTCTGATTATTATATAATTTTTGAAACTGTATTGGGTAGCAAGACAAATGGTGGTGATACTGTTTTGTTAACTGAGAAACTTTAGAAACTACTTTATATCATTTCATTGCCTCAGTAGTCAAGTGGTTGTTCTAAAACGCAAACGGGAGTGAACCCCTTCCTATGTAGAGTCACAGGCATGTGATGCTGAAGAGTTTCATATTAAGTTGGTAGTACAACTGGTCAGTAAGCGCCGTGGCTACCGATGATTCTTTGTCTGATGTCCGGTAGTGTCGGAGCTTACCCCAATAAATTAAAACTAGCCAATAACACTGTAGACCTTCAGAAATAGTAGAATGCCATTTTCAAAATTTTTGGGACTTAAGTTTAAAATATGTGGCTCAGCGGTAGAATGCTCTCCAACCACTCATGCGGTCTGGGGATCGATCCACGGCCACCGACGAACTCCTCTACCTCACTAAGCCAATAATAAGACTGATAAACAGGGAAGGTTGAGCATGAGGCTAGCAATTCCATCCCGCAAAAATAAACACCATTGCTACCGAAACTTCAAGCCTTATGTTCCACTGGGGGAACGAATATCAATAAAAGAAATTCGGTAAAAAGTTCAAGTTCAAATTCTTCAAATTTCAGGACAGATGTTTTCACGAACTGCACTGATGAAGAGTTCCAAATGAGGACGAAACAACTTTATAATATTACACCTTGATTTTCAGTGATCCTGTAACTAATGTTCATGAGAAAATATACCTCCAAATTGGAATTTAAAGTCAAGATTTGAAAAGCAAACAGTGTTAATTCAATTTTTGTTTGTCGTCTATTTGGCTAAGAAACTTTTCTTTGTCGATGAAGTCATCTTCAGAGGTTGTACAGTCGCATTTAATTTACTAAAACTGTTAACAGTCTATTAATAGGGGAGTGTGAAATAATTGATGCAATTACTCAGAAATGGCTTCAAAAGGTTTGAAGAAGTCACGTGATAATCGATCAAAATACGGTTAGGTGAAGATTGTCCTTAGATGAGAAACAAGGTGTTTAGATGTCCACCTGAGAAGTGTGAAGAGGATTAGAAGAGAAAAGAAGGATGTAGAGCTGGTGTGTTGAAGAAATAGAAGCACATGAGTGGGAACAAGGGAGAGAGAGATTAAATCTTTTCAAGGTTTGTTCAGTCTCAGTTTCGGTAAGAGCTCCTAAATATCCATAGGTAGGAAATTAGTAACTACTTGACTGTATAGAACCTAAAACACTTTTTTTAAGAAAAAATTTCCTTAATGAGCTTTATTTCAAAATAATTTCCTTTCAACATATATCTTTTCAGCAGAGATAGTTTTTAAGATAAAGCTTCAATGTTTAAAAGTTTTGCGAATTTAGCTATGTCATCA